GTGTTTTCTTTGTAAATTCTAGTTAAAACTTATGTTCAAGCATTGACATCAATATGTCGTTTAGCATCTCAACGTTTAAGTGAACATATGCATGAAATAGTTCGAATCACACTTTCATTTATTGAAAATACACCATCAAATAGTTCAAATGATGATCAACAATATGATGATGAACTGATTGAATATTGTTTACAAGCACTTGAAACATATTTAAAACGTTGTCCAAAAGAAACAAATGAATTTGTACCAAAAATTGTTGATATTTGTATTGTATATTTAAAATATGATCCAAATTTTAATTATGATAGTAAGCAAAAAAAAAAGAAATTATCAGTTGGTTTTTTTATTTATTCATCTAATTTTTCTTAGACGATGATAATGATATGAGCGATGATCAAAGTGATGATGATGGTGACGATGATAAAGGTATTTATTTTTAATGATGCATTCAATTATTATTATTTTATGTTTATCTTAGATCAAGATTCATATTCTGATGATGATGATCTTTCTTGGAAAGTTCGTCATTCAGCTGCTAAATGTATTGAAGCTGTTGTTGTTACTCAACATGATATTTTACAAACAAATTATTATCGTAAAATAGTACCAGTTTTGATTGAACGTTTTCTTGAACGTGAAAATACTGTTAAAGCAGATATATTTCATTGTTTTATAACAATTCTTCAACAAACAAAAACTGCTTGTGCACATCAACAACAACAGCAACACCAACAACCACATCATACAGTTTCTTCATCTGTTCATGATGATGAAGATAGTATGGATACAGATCATTTAACATCAAAAAATTCTTATGTGTCACCATTAGCTGAATATGTACCATTAATTGTTCGTTCACTTGCAAAAATTATGAAAGATAAAGATACAAAAAATCGTGAAGGTAGTTTAGTTGTATTAACAAATCTTGTTCATGTTCAACGTAATATTCTTATCGAACATATTGATACAATTGTACCAAATACACTTTATTCATTATCCACAATTGATAAAACAAAAAAATCTAAAGGACAATTAACAGAAGGTGTATCAACACAAACAGTATCGAAATCTCTTCATTCAAATTTAAAAATAACTGCATTAGCTTTTCTCTATGCACTTTTACAAACACATGATGATTCAATACGTTTTCATAAACATATTAAATCATTATTACCATTAATTATTTTACATGCAAATGATTCATTTTATAAAATAGCTAGTGAAGCATTACTTGTTTTACAAGAATTAGTAAAAATTATTCGTCCAAAATCATCAATTGCTATTCAAAATGAATTTAAACCATTTGTTGAACAAATTTATGAATGTACACAAAAACGTTTAAAACAAAAAGATTTCGATCAAGAAGTTAAAGAAAGAGCTATTACATGTTTTTCTTATGTTATTGTTTATCTTGGTAAGTGATAGATTCTTGATATTTTAATCTGAACAAGAGTTCAAGTTCGTACAGAATTGAATCGATGGGTTTCACTGCGATATAGAAGAGACTTTGACGCACATATTTATATAAGATAAAAAACCCTACTGCGGTAACTGAGTCAGTTTTTGGCTCCCGTCCATACATCTCCAAGGAAGTGGCTAAAATATTTCTCACCCATTTCCATAGGAAGGTACGGCTAAAAACTAACTTTTTTTATTAACCCAGACAGACAAAACTCAAAAAAAAACGGAGAAATACGGCCTAGAAATTTTGAAATTTTAACGAAAATAAAATCGGGAAAAGCGCACATTTTTACGATTTTTATCTTCGTTAGCTTTGTCTACTGTGATTAACGCGTCGATAATCTGTGCTTAAAGCGTTAAAACTCACAAAATAACATGTAAAACCACGTTGAATTCCGCGTTTCAATGAGTAACTACGGAGTAGATTTTAACGCAGTAGAACTCTTTCCAAAAAGTTGCGTATAAACGCGTTAAGAATTCGTAAAAACAATGTATTTACGAATTTTAAACGCGTTTTTTAGAGGTCTTGTCTGTCTGAGAAGCTTCAAAGAGATTTCGTTCATAGATTGAATAATAGGCCTCAAAGGATTAAAATATATCGAATTGATTCATTTCAATGAATTCCTATGTATCATTGTGATAATATTTTTAGGTGATCTTTTATCAGCCGAACAATTACAATCATGTTGGCCAGTATTAACTGATCTTCTTCGTAATGAAATAACTCGTTTACCAACAGTTCGTGCATTAACAAATATAGTTGATTCACCATTAAATCTTGATTTACAAACTATTCTTATTGAAACTGTACCAATATTATCTTCATATCTTCGTCAAAATCATCGTACACTTAAAATGAATACATTAACATGTCTTCGTTCAATGATTAAACTTTATTCAAAACATTTTAATAAAACGATGATTAAAGCAATTCTGATTGAATTACCATTGTTAATCAATGAAAATGATTTATTATTAGCACAAAATGCACTTAAATTAACAACATCAATATGTAAAATACCAAATAATCAAACAAGTCTTGATAAAGAACAAATAAATTCAATATTAAATAAAGTACTTGAATTAATTCAATCACCTTTATTACAAGGTACAGCATTAGATGCTGTTATTGAATTTCTTCGTTCACTTGTACCACAATGTATTTCATATGAAGAATTAGTTAAATTATTAATCAAACCAATTTATTCCCAACAAAAAACAGGTACAACACCAACAACTGCTTCACATACACCAACAACATCAACGACTGATCATCATCAACAACAATTAGTTGTACATAAACAAGCTTTTTATTCTATTGCAAAATCATTTGCTGCATTAACAGTAGAAAACTTAAAAGAAAGTAGTTTTTTTATTAAAAAATTTCAAGATGATTTAAATGATCCAAAATGTAGTGATTCAATTAAAATTTTAGCATTACTTTGTCTTGGAGAAACTGGTATGTTCTTTTATTCTATCATCAATTAGAAACTAAATATTTTTTTGTATTTAGGTAAATATACCGATTTAGCTCAATCATCATCTAATCTTCAACAGATTTTACTTGAAATATTTTCATCACCGTCTGATGATTTACGTACAGCAGCATCCTATACACTTGGTTATATTGGTATCCGAAATTTAAATGCTCACATTCCATTTTTATTAAGTGAAATTGCACGTAGTCAAACTAAACGACAATATCTTTTATTACATTCATTACGTGAAATTATATCCTATCAAAGTCATGAAAATTTACCACAACTTGATGGACATATTGATTCAATTTGGCGTACATTATTTGCACATTGTGAATGTCCAGAAGAAGGTACAAGAAATGTTGTTGCTGAATGTTTAGGAAAATTAACATTATTAAAACCTGAAAAATTATTACCCATTTTACGTGAAACATTTGTTAATCATACACAAAAAAAACAAGTTACATCACCACATGTACGTTCAACAATAATAACGGCTATTAAATTTACTATTGTTGATCAACCACAACATATCGATACAATTTTAAAAAGTTATATTAAAGATTTTCTAAATGGTTTAGAAGATGAAGATATTGATGTTCGACGTGTTGCACTTGTTATGTTTAATTCAGGTATATTCATTTTTTATCTAATTATATTTTTTTTTAAATCTTATTTTTAATTAGCTGCACATAATAAACCAATGTTAATACGTGATTTACTTAAAGAACTTTTACCTAAACTTTACAATGAAACTCGTGTACGACAAGATCTTATTCGTGAAGTTGAAATGGGTCCATTTAAACATACTGTTGATGGTAAAAAAACATTTTCTCTCTAAAATAATACAACTATATTTTTTGTTTATTTAGATGGTCTTGATCTTCGTAAAGCAGCTTACGAATGCATGTACACATTATTAGATAGTAAGTATACAGATTGTCTAGCTTGTAAATTTTTAAAAAGACTAATCATAAGATTTATTATATAACTCTATATGAATGAAAGTAACGAGATTTTAACTGTAATCACTCTACCGTATCGAAATAAAATAAAATAATATATTTATGTTTATTTAGCTTGTCTTGATAAACTTGATATGTTCGATTATTTAACATATGTTGAAGATGGTCTTAAACAAGATCATTATGATATTCGTATGTTAACATTTCTTATGGTTGTACGTTTATCAATACTTTGTCCAACGATTGTTTTACAACGACTTGATCGACTTATTCAACCATTAAAATCAATTTTATATTCAAAAGTAAAAGCAAATAGTATAAAACAAGAATTTGAAAAACATGATGAATTACGTCGTGCAGCTATTAAAGTATTTCTTGCTTTACAACAAATAAAAGATGCAAATAAAGTTGCGTGTATCAATGATTTTGAAGCATCTATAAAAAGTTCAAAAGAATTTCAAGATTTATATAATACAGTTATTCATGAACAACAACAATCATCATCTACATTTAGTTTTAATACGAATAACAATTCAGAAGCAATGGATATGAGTTAGAGAACAAAACAAATTAAAGAAAAAAAACAAAATTATTTTAATCCCGGTGTTCAAATGACAGACTTGTCTTCCTCTGCTTCTTCATCTTCTTTTTATTTTTATTATTGTATTTCTTTTCATTTGCTCGCCTTTTTTTTTCTTCTCTTGTTCACAACATCATCGGAAATAAAATTCTACTGTACTATGTGAGTGTTAAGTCTAACACCTATCTTTTATTGAATGTTTAGCTGATAAAAAAGAGATTAAATATTCGATATTCAATTCTTTTCTCTTCTTTATTTGATACATGATGCAATCTTTATTCTTAAGAAAAGAAAAGCTTAACATAAAATAAAGAGACCTATTCTTTTACTTTACATTAGTAAGTTGACGACAACTACAACGTGTAGTAACATACATTCGTTTGCTCTTTCTTTCGTTTTTTATTCAAAAATCATTCGTTACTGATGCATGACGATATAAAGAAGGCCGCATATTTGCATACATATGTAATTTCCTTCTTCCGGTCATAGGTTGGTTTTTTTTCATTGAATAAAACGATGGGTAAGGCAGCATCGAGATTCACTCAAGCATTTGGTCTTGGCCGTAATAATCCTAATACTACTCTAAATGGAAATGATGATATACTTGCACCTAAAACTCCACAATGGGATACATCTATTGATCAATTATTTGGTGATGCACCACCTGATGATACTATTATTGATCCAGCAACTATTGTAGATCCTCCAACAAGACCAAGACGACGAAGACCACCCCCACCACCACCACGACCGAATCGTGGTGGCCGAAGACGACCATTACCATCATCACCAGGAGCAAGACGAAGACATAATCGAGGAGGTGTTCAACCTATGAGAACTCCAATTGTACCAGATATGCCTAGAAGAATTCCTAAAGGTGGAGTACATGCCATTAATGCACCATTTGGTGTCAATAGACGACCTATGGTTTTACCAGCACCAATTAGTGAACGTGAAAAACCAGCTAGAATTGCTTTTAGAAATAGTTTCAAACGACGACCATCAATTCATCGTGGGAGGTATGAAAAAAAATTTTTTCTCATAATTTTATTTATAATAATCAATAGAAACATTTGATAATCTACTAATGATATATTTCAAGTTTATAATCATTACATAATTTACTACTGATCTATAAAGGTTAACCTAGAATTTCCTTGGCATTTCAAAGAATTAAGAGATTAATTTTGAATATATATAAAAATAACCTTGTGATATATATAGTTCTTTTTTTTTGATACCATTGAATTAAGCACGTACAAATTTTATCTTTATAGAACTACATCACAACGTACTCAACGTTTACAAGAATTACTTCAATGTCCTGTTTGTCTTACACCATATACTGAACCACGTCTTCTTCCTTGTGGTCATACTTATTGTGATGAATGTCTCAATCGATTGATAGAAAATGACAATGATATCGTACAGTAAGACACGTAAACAAACTATTAACGGTAATTATCTATTTTTTTCTCTCTCAATTCAATTACAGGTGTCCTGAATGTCGAAAACAACATGTTGTCCCTGAGGATGGTGTTTTTCCACCGAATTTTGTTGTTCGTAATCTTCTCGAAGAACATGGTATATCAACAGGATCAAGAGCAATACCATCAGGCAATCTTTCCTTGAATGGTACTGCTACGGCTAAATGTACGACATGTGAAACATTTGCACCATTACGTCTATGTCGTCATTGTAATTTCATGGTGTGTGACAGATGTTTAAAAGCACATCGACACGGTATAAACTAAGATAAATTTTATGTTTAAGTAAAACGAAAATGATTCATTTTTTGTTATTTATATTCAGGTGATCAAGATGGCTTTCATAAAAAATCAAAAATATATAGGTAAAAGATTTTTTTTATCGATATTATGTGTAAAAATATCGTTCTATTATTTTAGTGGTAAATTAATACAATTTTACATTGCTGTGCGTAAAATAACTCGAAGTAATTCTCAAGTAAAACGTTTAACAATTGAAATGCCAATTGGTAATTATCTTCAAGATACATGTGAAACACTTATACGACGTATAGCTGATCGAGAACAATTACATACATCAGCAAAACAACTTGTACTCGAATTCGGTGATAAACGTTTAAGACATCAACGAACATTAGCGTCATATGGTGTACAAAATGGTGATCTTCTCTTTCTTTTCAATCCTGAACAGCGACTTAATTTTCTCGCTTATGAAGATGAAGAGAATCTACCGGAATCATCATCATTAACGTCTAACAGACAACCTACTCGTTTAAGATCAGATAGTTATAATAGTAGTGCAAGTGATATTCGAACAACAACATCAAATGATTTAAGTTACAATCGTACACAACATCCATTAAGTCCAATATCCGATCATAATAATGATATTGAATCATTGTATAGTGATAATTAACTTAATTAATTTCTTCATTATCAAGAAAAATTTTATATTGTTGAAATAAATTCCAACAAGTTGTATCTTTCTCTAGAATTTCTTTAGCATGTATTGACTTTTGTAAACAACGATCTAGTGTTATAATTGCTTGTAATTTTTCTTCTCGCATACCACGTTTAAATAAAATTATGAATGAATAAAGACGATTATCATCCATTAATATAATATCAATTGGCATTTTATTAAGTGCATATGCTATAATCCATGCTGATAAACCTGTACTTATCATAAGAATTTCTTGTTGAACAATTTTTTTTAATAAATGAAAAAGTAATTTGAATGATGATTGATAAATATTTATATTTTGATAAATTTGTTTGGAATTAAGATTCATTAAACAAAGAAGTAATGTTATACGAAAACGTTCATTTGTTTTTCGTGGTTCTTGTTGTAAAAGAAGTTGATTTATAATATGAAATGTTTGTTCAATATTTAAATGATTTTTATTAAGTGTTATATTATGTACAATACTTATGATTGATTGTATTAAATTATTAATAACTGCTATTGGATATTGTTCAGTATTCAAATTTTTTAAATAATCTAGTAAATTTGTTAATAGAAATTGAATTAATTTTTGATTATTTGATAAATAAAGACGAAATTCAATACTTATACCACTGAAATTCCATAATGTATAGAGAATAAATTGTGTTGAACGTCTTGCTGATATATTACTGAATATACCAGTTTTTATATATTCAATTAAACAATGATGAACTATAGAACAATAATCATGTTCAATTAATAAACGTCCTATACGTGAATCATCTTGATTACAGGGTGAATGCATATAGAATAGATCATAGATAAATTCAAGTGCATCTTCATAATCAATTGAATTGATTGATAATTGAGCAATTCGTTCAAGTACTTCTTTTATATAATGTGATGGAACAGCATCATCATCTGTGAATTCTGTAGTATTATTTGTGTTGATAAAATTTACATCACCCTTGATAACGGGTATGTGTCGATTAGGAACATTATGTCCAATTGAAACTGAAGTACTATGAGACCATGTTGTTGCAACTGTAGATGCTGATGCAGGACGACGTGAATAATCAAGGAACTTTGCCATAAAATTACTTTTAATATAAATATAACAGACTGTTTTTGTTTTTTACATGTTATTTATATCGTCTTAGTTTATTTTTCTTTGCATGTTAAATAAAAATATGATTTTAATTAACAAAATAATACTTATAAATTTCTTCGTCTCTAATGAATATAATACTAATATGTAAACAAATAAAAATTTATTCTAAATATCAAGTACTCTTTTTTTTGTCTTTCGATATTACGCAATTGTTGATATTGTAAAGGCCATCGTCCATCGCTTCATTTTAACCTTTTCGTTTTCTTTTTTGATTTTATTATCAACTTAATATGTATATAGAATATTTTTTTAATGAAACCTTTCTATTTTGTTATTATATGATGATAATCATATATTACTTTCATCATTTGTACAGTGTCCAGTAATGTACTTTTTTTCCCCTGTCATTGAAATAAAAATGAGAAGAGCGATGAAGAATAAGAGAAAAAAAAGAGCCTTGAATTGTATTGCATTCTGTTACGTCGACATTCGTTTATTTATTACATGACGAAAGAGCTTTTTTTTTGTATATGTATTGATTTTGTTTCTCTTTTTTTTTTTTCGTTGTCAAAAAAAAAAGAACCTTAAAAGACGAGAATGAAGAGTGGAAGAACAGAACGAGTAGAAGAGAAAAAAACCATGTAGGACTGCTCTTTATTATTATTATATTCTGTCACTTTTTTTTTCTTCTTAATGCATATGTTAGTCGTATGATATAATGTATGCAAATAGACTAGTTTTTATTTCATTGGTAGTAATATTTATTAAACAAATTCAAGGTTCATTTTGGAACGAAATACCTCCAAAATGTACTTATGATCGTACGGAAATATTTTCTTGTTGGAATACAACATTTACACATTCCATACCGTTATTTAATGATTTAGCTTATACACTTCAAGATCATCGTGTTGAAATTCGAGATTCATATTTTGAATTATCTTTACGTGATTTATTAGTTCATGTTGGGACAAATATAAATAATTTAACATTAATTAATAACACATTTTCATCAACGGCTATTGAAACAAATTTAATATTTGAAGGTGGAATTTTCTTTCGTCTTCTTCAATCTCTTAATATTAATGATCCACAAGCTTTACAATGGTCTCAACTAAATGGCTCATATTTTCCTCAATTAATTAAACTTGATTTATCTTATAATCAATTAACTGTTGAAAAACCACTTGTTTTCGATCATCAATTTTATCCTAAACTAAAATATCTTAATTTATCAAACAATCAATTAAAATCCATAGATAATCTCAGTGGAAATGCTTTAAATACAATTGAAACATTAATTCTCTCACATAATCCATTAGAATCAATAATAAATGAACTTAGTCAATTTCAAGCACTTATTAATCTTGATTTATCATCAACGTCAACTAAACAGTTATTTAGTATAACATTATTACCACATTTAGAAACATTTATATGTCAAGATTGTCGACATATTCCAACATGGGAATATGAAAAATTTCTATCGAATTGTTCACAATTAAATAATAAGAATCAATTAACAATTGACTTGACACAATCAAATATACATTCAATAAAATTATTTAATCCATATATAAAATGTATTAAAAATTTAATATTAAATACTCAAAATCTAGTTGATTCAATAACAACACATGATCTTTTATATAGTACAAATCTTGAAAGTGTTCAAGCAACAACTAATTATGACATCGATTATGTTCATTTAAATGTTTATGATCATTTATTACATATAGATTTTAGTGAAAATATTTACTTAAATCAAGTTATATTACGTTTATTATCAAATTATACTCATTTACAACGTTTAAGTTTATCACATACAGGATTAAATGATTTTTCAATTGATTTTTATAATACATCATTAAAATTCTTGCATATTGATGTTATTGATATGAGTCATAGTCGTTTGGAAACTCTTGATTTTCTTAAATATTTAACATTTCATACATTAGATGTTAGTTATAATCTTTTAAAAATAATTGATATAGATTTAGTTCATTATCATCATGGTATGTATGATTTATCTTTAATGAATTTATTAAATATGTCATTTAATGAAATGGAGTTTATTAAAATAAATTGGGATAATCAATCACCACATTCAATAGATTTATCCGATAATAATCTTGAATCAATTGAGTTACATGGTCAAACAACATATACACTTTTACTGGCAAATAATACGAAATTATCATTAACAAAACCAACATTTAATGTTGATTTCCCATCATTACAATATCTTGATTTAACATCAATTTATCTTAATTCATTAGAATATCTTATTTATCTACATAATCTATCAAATATTCATACATTAATACTTAATAATAATCGTTTATTAAAACAACATCGTATACTTAATTGGTATCTATTTTATCCTTGGCATAAATATTTAACACATCTCTCTCTCCGAAATATGTCACTTGAACAAATTGATTCCGGTGTACGTTTAAATGATTTTTATCATTTATTAACAATTGATTTCTATTTAAATTCTCTTAAATGTGATTGTAAATTACAACCATTTGTATATTGGTTACAAGTTCCACCACCACCTCTTTTAGATTTTTATGAACCATTACAAAAATTATTACGTATCAATTGTCCAGTATCATTATTAGATATGCATTGTGATGATGAAGAGAATTCAAAACAGAAAAAGCTTTATACAATAACACATTCATCATTTTTTAAAACATTCTTTATTTTAATTATATTTATATTAATCTTATTAACAACATTTAAACTTATTGATAAACGTTTACGACGAATACGTTCAAGATTTTATCAACGAGTTTATACAGATGCCGATATTATTACATTGAATGAACGGCATGTTACACATAAGACAGATGATGAATAAAAAGAAAATATAATTTTTACAAATATGTATAAAGAAATTTTGTTTTTATTATATGCCTTTTTTTTGTACGATAGAAAAAAACTTAAATAAAATAGTATTCATTTTTATCAAATTCTAATATTTATAGTTTATCATTAAAATTGCTTATGCTCCTCTTTATATGTTGTATGGTCTAATGCGCATTACAAAAGTTCATATTAGATTACGAAACATCGTTGATTGAAAGATTTATAGTTTTGAAAAGTGTATATTGTGTTAGAGGTAATTTATCAATTAAAATTCAATTCACTTCGTACACTTCAATTGAAACAATTTCATTCGATATTTTTACATCATCTATTAAACTTAAAAACGAAGTTAATAATTTATTTTTGTATAAATCATATCGAACATTTTCTATAATTAATTTTCAAGTAAAACATTTATAGATGGCACTAGGTGATAGGTCTAATTAAATATGGCACCTACACGATAAACAACACAAATGGTCGTTCTAATCCAATGATATTTTGTACAGTATCACCTTATTCTATATTCATTGTGTGTTAGTATTCATAATATTTGTTTTTCTTTTCCTCTATGTGTCTTATCATATAGGAAAAGTCCTACCATAAAATATTTGTTTAGTCAATTTTAAGATTTTTTTTATCAATTAAATTCAATATGGAACAAGTCTTTGGACAAAAATTAATGGAAGCAGCACAAATTGCTGAAGAACAAGTGATTATTAAATAAATTCTAAGAGATAAATGAAAATCTATTTCAATTTTTAGGTTGATGCTGAATTAAATCGTCTAGAAAAATTAACTGAAAATGATATTGAAAAAATGCGTAATCAACGACTTGAATCAATGAAACAAGAACATAAAAAACGTCAAGAATGGATGGCTAATGGTAGATTTTTATTCTTTGTGTTTTTTTTTCGAATAATTTTTTATTTTAGGTCATGGTGAATATGATGAATTACCTACCGAAAAAGAATTATTTGATATAACAAAAAAAAGTGAACGTATTGTTTGTCATTTTTATCGTGATTCAACAATGCGTTGTAAAATTGTTGATAAACATTTAGAAATTTTAGCACGAAAACATATTGAAACAAAATTTGTTAAATTAAATGTTGATCGTGCACCATTTATAACTGAACGTTTACATGTTAAAACATTACCAACAATTGTATTAATGGTTGATAACATTGTTAAAGATAGAATTGTTGGTTTTACTGATTTAGGAAATCATGATGAATTTTCAACAGATATTCTTGAATGGCGTTTAGGTAAAGGTGGTGCTATTGATTATAAAGGTGATTTAACATCACCACCGGAAGATAATCCAAAGAAGAAAACCATAACTGTATTTGGAAAAAAACCTAAAACAATACGAGGTGGCAATACTAATGACGATGATGATGATGATGATGATGACGACAATTGAATGCTTAGTCTTCTTTTTTCTTAACAATTTCTATGTTCCGTTCAGATGATCTTTTATTATATGTTTATTTATATGAGAACAAAAAAAAAAACTATCAATGATCAGAGTGGTAATGTTGAAATATAATCTTCATTGTCTATCATTATTATATTACATGTTGTGTAACGATACCTAAGGGAATGAGAAAATAGAAATAGTGAATGAAATATATTCTCAAATTTCTCTGTCTTTTGAGTTCTTTACAAGCACGTCGTGCAGATTATTTGTTTTTCTCTCTCTTCGCTCTATGTATATCGTATAATACAATTGCTCCCCTATAGCGATATACATATGACTAGTTAATCAATATAACCGTTAGACAGACAACTCTCATAGATAAACAAATTGATAAGCTGACTAACGCGTTGCTTGAGTTCATTATATTCATTTACATTTTTATCAAATATATAACCGTGTTTAGTTTCATTTTTAGATGAACCTTGAAAGATGAATGCTACAAAAGTGTCATCAAAGAATGCGACAGCTCAACGTGTTTATCAACGTCGCAATCGCAAACAAAATCGTACGCATACTATTTCATTAGCCTATCTTCCTATAACAACAACAATCCTTCCCACAGCAAATACAACATTATTATTAAATTCATCGGCTGTTTTTACAAATGATTTTACTATATTATCATTATTCACGCAAAATAAATTTCTTTTTCTTATAGCTTTATTGCTTCTAATACTCTTATGTATAATATCAATAATATTTCTTGTCATTATATTAAAATGTAAAAGAAAGAAAAATTGGAAAATTCGTCGACAACAACGTAAAGATATCAAACTTGCTCAAGATATTCCAGATTTTCTTGATGATCATCCTGGAAATAAAGGTGAGAGTGTAGTTTTAATTACATCAAATGATCAAATTACTATGTTCGATGATATTAAAAATACAAATGGAACAAAACTTCATGATAATATTAGTAATACATTGTCACTTGATCCAATGCTTCAAGAAAAAATTATTAAAAATAATCTTCCTAATACTCCAGGATTACCATTACCATCCGATGATACATCAATTGATACACTACGTGGTTCATTGATATCATCACCATCTCAACAAACTGCATCTATTCAAACCATTCCTACTCCAACACATTCAATAACTGTACCAGATTCAATTACAAATCTTGATGATAAAGCTGTTGAATTCGAAAAAGATGATGGTTTGAATGATTTAGATTTAAAAGGTATTAAACCACGTTTTATAAAAGGAATCAATAATAGTGGTAGCAATATATCATCATATCGTACATCAGTTTCATCAGTAGAACAAAGTATTCGCAAACAAGAACGACGAAATGAAGAAGAAGAACATCGGTTTTTACATGGCTCAAATTCAAATTTATATGAAAAAGAATTAAGAAAACAAGCTGAAAAAGAATCATTTTCTTCAAAACCAAATACAAATTCTCGAGAACAAACTCCTTCGAAACCACATACACTTTCTCAAGCATCACTTGTTTCAAGGACTAGCGAAGATAGTTGTTATTAAAAAATAAAGCATTTATGCTCATCTAAACATGTATGTTTAATATTTTCTTTTGATCTTGTTCTTGCGTGTTTTCGTTTTTCTCTCATCTCTCTCTTTTTTTTTGTATCAAATCCCGAAAATCAAAACCATTAAATTCGCTGTTGTTTATTTGTGTATCGTATATATATATATATGTCTATATATATATTATTATTATTATTTTGTCTGCCTTAAGAACATATATACAAACATTGAAATATTTTAATCTCGCTGGGATTATCAATATTTGCTTGAAGCAAAAAATAGAAATTCATATCTTTGTATGTATGTTGCATTATTCGCTTTAACACATGTTATTTTTCTTTCTATTCACTTACAACTATCATGTCATATATGAATAGTTTTTCGTTTTTTTTGTATACTATTACTAAATTTTCCTAGAAATACATATAATTGTACACATGTATAAGAACAAAAAGAAAAATTTTGGAGATTCTTTCCTTTAAAAACCATCATTATTATTAAATATTAATACTAAGTGATTTTTGATCATCAATTTTTGTTTCAAGTTCATATTTCATTTGTTTAAGTCTTGCTTTAATATAATCAATTACAACAACATTATCATAAGAATAGGTTCGTGGCCACCAGCCTTGTAGATAACTAACATGACCACCTTCTAATGTTTTTATTGCAATTAAATATTGATTTTGTAAAATATCTTCGATAGGTAAACCATCAATTGGACATATGGGATCATCAATAGCACTTAAAATAAGTGTTGGTATTCGAATAGATTTTAACCAGATTTTTGATGATGCTTCACTATAATAATGTTCAACATCACGATAACCATATTGTGGTACAACAACATGTCGATCAAAATCTCGTATAGTTTTTGATTGATATGCTTCATTCATATTAAGATTAGGTAATGATTCTGTTTTAGCAAAATGATGTTCATGCTGTTTGATATATCGTATAAGATTATTTGTTAAACGACGATTATATGTATGTACTTGTAACCATTGTTCCATATTTGCATTTGATAAAAGCATATCAAAACTAGCACAACATACAATTGCACCATCTAATATACATTTATTACTTTCTTCACCAAGATATTTTGTTAATATACCAGCACCAAGAGAATAACCAACAGCAAATAAAGGCGTTTGATCTCCAATAATTGAGCGAATATATTTTATTGATATACGTAAGTCATCTGTATTAGCAGCACAGAATGATCGAGCTGATGTTAATTGTGATCGACCACATCCACGCGCATGTATAACTACACAACATATGTTAAGTTTTGAAGAAGCCGATAATATCATCCAACGTATATATTCATTATCTGAACCACCTGTTAATCCATGAAGAATTACTAATATAGGTTGACCAGGATGTGGTTTTGTATGCCAATCAATTGCAATTGTTCCACCACCATCATCAACTGGAAGAAGAATACGTTCAAATATAATTTTAGGTAATGGACGAAAAAGTACACCAAATACTGTCATAAGATGACCATTGAATATCCATGGTGTTGGACGATATTCATTAAATGATGGACAATGATCAATTATAAATTGATTTTCTTCTGTTGGAACCATAATAATACTAGATGGATACCGTTTTATTATTCTCCATAAACATCCAACAAGTGCAACTGTTGATGGAATAGCAACAAGTAATGTCCGAGAATGATTTTTTAAATACGACCACGACATATGTAATTGATTAAATAAATATTTATTATCGTATCATTTTGTTTGTCTCCATAATTGATGATGTATATGATCAGATGCGGAGAATGAAGAAGAGGAGAATGACAACAACCTCGACGTCGACGACAACGGCGACATACTGATTCATGTTTTCTTTTTGTGCCTTTTTTTGAAACTAACTTCTAATTATTATGAAGAATCGACCGTGTCTGACATCTATAGTTCCTTGTAGTATATGCTTTCAGATCAATATTAAGATTGAATTTCTCACATATATACATAATAGATTGCTGTTTCATATGTTCCACTTTACACAATAGAAAAGTCTGTTAGTTGTCTTATCATCAAGAGTTTGAATCATATCATAAATGATAAGATGTTCAAAAGAAACAAAAATTAACTGTCAATTCAGCATCAAAACATTTGAAGATGTTATTACAAAGTGAGGCACTTATGCTCAATAAAATATTCCATTTGTGAATACTATCATAAGTACACTTATAATAAGCAAATATACTTCGTCGTTTACATTATGATTACGTGTTGATTAATAAATCAAAATAAAAACGATTATCATAAATAAGAAAATTTTATATATGAAAAAAAATAGTAAATTATACAGAAGTAAAACATTATCACTTTTAATCAAATAGTCAACTAATCCATATGTTCTACAACTGTTTATGTATGGTAATATACTATTATCTAGTTCTATCTAACATATAAATTAATAAACAAGTTATCATGAAATTTTAAATAGAATGTACATATTAATTCGTTATAAAATATTTATGATATTTTTATAGATAAATTATATATAGAGCGAATCTTTCACGTTGTTGTTAAACCATTAACTAACTTATTAGAAATCTTAAGCATGGATAAAATATAAAAAATACAAAACTATGAAGTCTATAATCAAAATACTATCGACAATTTTGATTTAGAAATATTGTAGTAAAAGCTGAATCTATTACGATAAAATTTATTAACTTTGTTCTATGGCAGATCATAAATGTTCAATTTCAATTTAGAGAGATATTTTCATCTAAACTTTTTTATTAGAATTAAAATTTTTTTCAGATCTTTATTCTAATCAATGCATTAGTCATTTTATTTGAACATAGTTTCAGACAAGAAATCTATTACCGCCTAATACTCAGATTACGTCATATTAATTAAATAGAAGAAAGTTAAATATAGTATTGTCTTTCATAGAGAAATCTGTTCACAATCTGAATAGAAATAGTAGAATATAGCATTTTCAATATACGCTAATTTATCTAATGAATAATTTGTTTTCAACACGTCTCACAAAAGTTTGAATCAACTCGAGATAGTTAAAAGCTCTTTTTCTCTGACAAAGTACACAGATATTTCAAATAATATACTCATCTTATTTATTTTTTGTAATTTAATATATGAATATACCTAATCAACGCTAAGATTCTTTTCTTCTTTTACGTGTTATAATATAGATTTAATATTTATTATATTCAACAAACACATGCTCTTCTATTCTTTCATATTATCTACAGATTAATAATTTATGAATGGAATCTGTATAATAAAAATATAAAACATCTTACTATACATGCGAATGGTATTTACTCTTAGTTCAATATTTTTCAATAATCGATTTATTTTGATAATATATTATAAGAGTTTTAAAATGCGTTTATTGAATAATCAAAAACAAATTAGAAAAGTTGAATTCATCGTGTTTAAAGTGGCAGGATCTAGCTTGCAATCATATTCTGAATACTTTTAACGAAACGCTTTCCATCCAAATGTGAGTGTACGAGCGGTATTTTCATTCATTTGACATATGTCACTAAAAATCAAGACTATATCCAACTTTTACTCTTAATCACAATGGATTTCAATTCACATTATGCTGATCCATTTCATAGTTTTGTTATGCGTTTCTCTTATTGTAAATATACAGATCTTTATCGTGTTAAGTTCCATCTTTGTTCGTTCTCACTCAAATCAACAGAAGTATATTATTAGATCCATTCTTACATTTACATTGAGTGTCATAGGTAAGAATTTAAAAATTGCTTCATTTAGTTTATGAGATAATGAATAATGCAAGTTTGTATAAGAATCAATTTCATTATTTTGAAATCCTGTTATGATTTTCGAATTAGATCCGTAGTAATTAATTGAACGTAAACAAAGCTTTTTTTCTGTATCAGATTCAAATTGATAATATCTATCTGAGGTCTTGTATAATCATTTCATAATTGAAATATCAATCTTGTTTCTTATCGATCATCGATTATAATACTGACATAATATCTAAGTATATACCATTTTGTTTTCTGAATTAATATAGATCAATATTATTTTATATTTCTTTTTCAAGATTTTTTCAGCTATGCAAATGTTTGTAGAAAATAAAATCTTTTCATGCATTCACTATCAACGATCTTATGATAAATAAATGCCCTAAGGGTATTCTCAAAAGATAATATTCAACTACAGAAATAAAAAAAAATAGAAAAAGAAACATATTATGCTATTACTTTCAAACACTTCATCATCTACTTTTCATGGAAAAATAAAAATGCATATTTTAAAAGTAAGTATCTTCATCATATCTCAAGAAGAACAAATCAAAGAGTAAAATCCTATGTATCAATTATAATATATATATATATATTTCTTTTTAAATGCAGGGAGAAAAAAAACGTGAAAGTTCGAAAAAGAAAAAAACGGATACATATGCTCTCTGTCCTGACTACACACACACACGTACAAATAAAAACGAGTTATTATCTCGTTTAATTTCTTATTTTGTTTAATATATATATACACGTGAATAGACACACACACACACACATATATAAAGATAAACTCTCTTAAATTAACCATCACTAAAATCCGAATTTGTTTGATCTAGACTATCATCTTCAATAGGCATCATCATATCTTGTTCTTCAAATTCTTCTTCATTAAGATTAACCGGATGATACATTGGCATTGTTGCTTGATATTCATTGCCTAGTGGAGGATGATGTTCAATCCATTCACTTGGACATGACATTGTTGGTAAAGGTCCATGTGGACCAATTACATATGAATCATCACTATTTGATGGTGGTGATGATGTTAAAGAATACATCATTCCATCACGTGTATTTAGAAATGATCCATTCGTATTTACTGAATTAATAGGTTGTAATGTTGATAATGATCCATTTTCATACATATTCGTATTTCCATTAACTGTTGATGGTCCACCACCTTGACTATTACATGGTGATAGAACACTCATTGGATGTCCAAGAAGAAAAGATTCACCATTTGGACCCATTGATGATATTGGTGGAATATCAAGACGATGACGCTAAAAAAAAATAATAAATAATTTTGATAATTATTTTCTTATGAAATCATACTTTTGGATCACCAGGAAATCGTGCTTGTTGAGCAGCAGTTTTTTTCTTATCTTTACATCCTACACAAAACAAACAATATTTTTGTTATTTTTAAATATAAAAAAATAATATCTTACGTTTATTTTGAAACCATACTCGAATAACTCTTGGACTTAATTCCGTCATTTCTGCTAATTGTTCTTTTAATAAAGCATCAGGTCTTGCATTATAAGCATAACAGGATTTAAGTAAATGTAATTGTTTTTCTGTTAAAACTGTTCGTACACGTTGTTGTTTATCTCGTCTTGGTCGTCTTTCGGCATTATTATTATTTGAATTTAATTGTTGTGATGATGAACCATTCGGTGATAACGACGAAGAATCATCAGTTGATTTATGTCGTTCATCATTTGAATCCATATCATCCATAGATGCAATAGTTTTATTATTATTATTACTTATTCTTGAAGGTTTTTTCTTTTGTAATAAAGAAGTTTGTCGAATTGGAGTTTCATTAGTATTATTAAGTTTTTCTGAATCATTATTTAATAATTTTGAACAATCAAATGTTTTTAATTTATCATTTGTTAAAGAATCAAAATCATTTCGACATAAAATACGATTATCACCACTCAATGTAAATTCTAATTGAATTAAAAAAACAAAAAAATTCTATTGTATTTTACAAAAAATTAAATTATCTTACCATCACCAGTTTGTAAACATTTTCGACATGCTTCACATCGAAAACAATCAACATGATACATATTTGATTTTGCTCGTTGAATTAAATCATTTCGTAATAAATTTTTTTGGCAAGCAAAACATTGATAATAAAATCTTCTAGAAAAAAAAACGAATGAAAAAGGTAAAACGTCAATGAAAATCAAATCTATACTTTGGATAATCATGTTTACAATATGGAAAACCATGTCGATCCATAAAACAAGTTGTGTGTTCATTAAGTTTTTGTTTACATAATCGACAACGTAGACAATCATCATGCCAATGTATTCCAGGTGTAACACTAAGATAGGATGGTTCATTTATTGATAATTTACAACCAAAACATTCAGGAAATGTTGATTCTATAAGATAACATCAAAATAAAATAAGATTTCTTTTTTTTTGTAATAATTTATCTAACGGAAATGAAGAGTTTTCATATCTTCCTTCCTTTAACATGTCATTGAGATCTTACTTGTATTTGTTGGAACACTCATATTTATATTAATTGAATACAAATTCCAAGTATTTTGATTGATTTAGTATGTGTATGTGTGTGTTTGTAAATGTATGTGTTCGCCCTTCGCTCGTTTTTTCTTTTTTTTTCTCTTTTCCTGAGAAAGGATTTTTCGTAGCAACGTTTTGTATGCGATCGATTTTATTCGCCGGCAGCCGTAGAGAAAAAAAATCGCATCGTTTCGCTTCTCTTCTCTTCTCTCCACCCACTTAACAAGAAGTCTCCATACTTTTTTGCACAACTACAAGAGAAAAGTATCGTTCTCTCTCTCTTCTCCTCCCTAAGAGAGTATGTGACACGTGTATGTACTACATGTTTACACAAGAAAGAAATCTCTTTCTTTTTAACCAATCATTTCCTTGCTAGATATCGATCTGTATCATCTTTATAAACCACCAATGATGTAGAGAGCAATATTGTTTTCACAATTACACCGATCAAAGTAGGCGGGCTAGACATAATGACTGTTGGGACAACAGGGGAGTTGTCATGATGATCATATATGATAAGACATTGATCAAACAGATTCATCGTTTGTGTCGTTTCTTACACAATTTCATTATTTCTTCAGTTTTTTTTCATATATATATATATATATAATATATATACACTTTACCACTTGAATACAAAAGAAGGTCGTCTAACAAAGAGTGAGAAAAAAAAAGACTAAACGTTTTTGTTGCCTGCAACAATACAGCCGAGACTGTTTTTGTTGTTGTCGTTTGTGTGTGTGTATGTGTTGATAGGACTTCTTTAGCATGTATATACCATACATGATGAAACCTTGTTCATTCAACTAGTTATAGTTGAAAATGCACTTGCCTCTTTTTTTTTCCTTAAGTGCTGTAATGGATTTTTTTTTTGAAAAAAAAAGAAGAAAAAAACTAAGATGAGCATCTCTATTTTATCAATTAGACTAATTTTTTAAAAGTTTTCGCCTGAAGCAAATTTATCTATAGAAGATAGACACATATGCAAGTAAAAAGAAGTTGACTAAATATTTTTTTGTCAGTATGTGTCGACTGACAAACGAAAAATAAATATAGAACGTTCGTATTCTTAAATAACTAAGATACAATTGACGGTGCTGAAGAGATAAACACATACTCTTAAGTAAGCATAAATACACATATGAATATGCATTTCTACACTCAGCAGTCATCAGTTAGTAGAACTGTGAATGTAAACATAGAAATGCGCGAACGGACATCTGCCAACATAGGATGAGTCTATGCTTAGTACTATGCATTTTCACAGTAGGTGCTCCCCTTATTTGTCATAGTAAATCACAAAGCAAGGTGTAAACGGCCTAATCGAATTAGTACGATGAATTCAGTGTACATTAAAAAATCAAAATTCAATGATTAAATCAATCAAGCGTTGATATTGAAAATAATAGCATCAATGATTATTCCTCAAGCTTGAAAATGTTTATAGAATGACTCTTTTTTTGTTTCTTGATTTCATCGGCAAATTAAATGTTTCCATAATATTTATAAAATGAAGAAAAAAAATATATATATGAAGTCTTTGAAGTGTTATATAAGACCAAAAAATAACTTGATCTAATGTGTTAATGGATTGAATTTAGGTGCGAGGAACATATGTGTATATATCTATATGGACAGATGAGATAACGTTATTTTTTGTTTGGTGACAATGAAGATGTGCATACAAACAAAGGTGTTGCTATTGACACATTAAATTGAAATCGAAATTTTTTTATATTTTAATCAACATCTGGTAGATTTAACATCGATGTATAAATAATAAATTAAATCATCCATACTCAATTGATTATTCAGAATAATAAAAAATGCAGAAAAATGATGGTCGTTTTTCTAAATTAACTTTGATCTTTACTAGAAAATGAACTAATTGAATTAACAACGAACGAATATATATATTCTTTAATTGAATTTTATTACAAGCAAAAAGAAAAAAAGAAAAAAAAAGGAGATTTTACAATAGTGTCAGTTGACTAGCTCCACTTCCATCACAACTAGTGTCACTACGTTCTTCACTAAATTGTGATGTATCAAAACATGTACTATCATCTTCAGATGCAAAACCAGTTATATCATGAAAATTTTGTTGTTGAACTTGTAAATGATGTCCATTCGAATATGAATTAATTGTTTTCCATGGTCCACCTGAATGATATTGAACTTGAATTAATGATGGTGATTGTAAACCAATATTTATATCATTAGGTACGGGTGATCTTGCAATTAATGGTAAACTATGATTAAGACTTGTTAAAACTTTTTGTTGTTCTTGTGTTTGTTTAGCTAAAATACTTCGTTTTTTATCTTTACAACCTATAACGAAAAAAAAAGAGAAAAAAATGTTTTTTTTTTTCGTTTAAAAAATAATATTTTTTTTTCTCTTCTCATACGTTTATTTTGAAACCAAACACGTATTACACGTGGTGATAGTTGTGTCATGTCAACAAGTTGTTCTTTCATAATTGCATCCGGTCGAGGATTTGCTCCATAACATGTACGTAATGTTAATAATTGTTTCTCATTTAAAACAGTTCGCATTCGTGTTGTTTTATCTTTTCGTATATTATTATTCGTTGATTTTAAATTCGATGTAGAAGAAATTATTGATCCTAATGGTTGATTTGATGAACTTGATGTTGTTGATGATGATGAAGATGTTGGAGGTGGCCGTAATGGTGGTATACTATTATTATTTGTTGCTAAACATATACATATAGATATAAATTAAAAATGATAAGAAAAAGTCTCACGATAATAAATGTCATCTGCATGTCGAATGTATACGATTGATCATGACTTAAATTCTCAATAGACACGAGTATAGTTATCCGATTAAAATCAGTTAGACAATCATTTATCAATACTATCACAATGTCATCAGAGAAACAAAAAAAAAAGAAAGCTGCGATTGAATTCAAATGGTCACACACACACACACATCTCAATATAGGATAATAAATTTTTTTGTGTCTCTCAATCGACACGTGCATTTATTGGCTGTATCCGGTTTAGAAATAAAAAAAAGAAAGAAACGGTGTTGACTGATTAGTAGTCATTCTCTTATTCGTATTTTCTTTTACTATAGTATATATATATAGCGTGAAAAGAGAGCACCCCAGACTGATCTGACTTCCGGCATTGAACGCGCACGCCGTCAATTCCTTCCTTCACGCCATAGCTACATCCGAAACGGATGTAAGTGTGTATGCACGCCATACGCTTTTCTTTCTTTGTAATATACCTGCTGTTGATGTTCCTATTGACTGATTAGATAAATTTAATTGATGAAAATCTTGTCGACATAAAATTTGATTTTGTTCATGTAAATAATATTCATCGCCTGATGCCAGTAAACGATCACAATGATCACAACGAAAACAATCTGGATGATAACGACGGTAACATGCTGTACGAATAAATAATTCATTTTTAGAAAATGATTCATGACATTTAGTACATTTTGATGCAAACAATCTAGTTGAAAGAATATATACATACATACATAAAAAAATAGAAATCATTGCATGATAAAGAAAAAAAAGAATTAATTCTACTAAGTGAAATCTCGTCTCTCAATGTATTGTCTTTATTCTTATCTGCAAGCTGTTCAAGTGAATGTGAGTGAGAGTGAGAGAGAGATCGGTCAAATCTGCATGAAAAGCTTTTGTAAATAATTCATTCATCAATGACTCTCATTTGTATGCATTTAGCTAAAAAAAAGTCATCTCTCTTATCGAACAAAAGTTGTTTGCCGAGACGACACATATGCTATTTGAAGTGTGTTAATTTTTTTACTGCTGAGATGATTATCATTAGTGATAATTTTTTCAAGTTTAAGTCTTTTGTCGGTATATACAAAAAAGAATTTTATATATATCTATAGTCCGTACCTTATATAATCATATTTGCAAAATGGTTTTCCATCAAGAACAAAACATGTCGCAGATTCATCTAAATATTGACCACATTCTGAACATTTTAAACATTGAATATGCCATTCAAGATCTGGTGCTACTTTTAATAAATATTGATCATAAATAGGACCATTACAACCTGCACATATTGAAGAATATTTTATTTCTAGAAAAGAGAAGAATACGAGTTATTAAAAATACTTTTCTCTTTTTTTTTACCTGCATCATCATTAAAAAAAGTATCTTGATAATCATGATGGTATCGTGTATTATAACGAGACAATTTAAGACTATTCTTCATAATGTCGATTATCTGTAGCAAAGTATATAGTATAAGAATTTCTTTCTCTTATTTCATTAAAATGAATCACACTAAGAAAAAGAAAGAAGGAAAACTCTATATTAGTTAATGTTGATTTTTCTTTCTTTCTTTCTATTCTTTTTTTTTGTGTGTTTGCTATACTAGGAACGAAGAATGGAAAATAATAGTTTTTTTTCTTGCTGCTGCTTTTAGACATTTCTAAAGGGGAGGAGAGTGGTTATTATTATTATTATTATTATTATTCTCTTCCCGTTTCCTGTTGGCTGAGCGGAACATTTTCTCATTGGTCGATCGTTTGGAAGTGCATACAGACAAACAAGCATTTTTCTTCTTCTTGCCGTTTCTTTCTTTTTTTTTTTGAAGAAACAAACGATGAACATAAGCGAGAAAGAAGATTTTTTTTCTCGTCGTCGTCATACATTAAGTATCAAACTCAATCTGGATGAAGATGATGGAGGTCATTGTGACAAGTAAAAAGAAACAAAAAGAAAAAAAAAAGAAAAAAGAAAGACAATAACAACAACAGCAACGACTATGTTTATCCTTCGAATAGGTTTGGGTGTGCGATTAGTTTCCATTAAGAGACATTCATCTATTATCTTTGAATAGAGATCGAAAAGCAATTATTTCATTTAGACAAGAATACATATAAACAAAACATAGTCTACCTCTTTCTATACATTGAGGTATAATGTGTTGTTCATAGTATGACATATGGTCAATGTTAGTTTTGCACCTTTTTTTTTTTTTGTATGTATACACTTGCGTGAAAAAACAGCAACAGATAGAATGTATATAAATGATTTAGTTTAATATTAAAAAAAAAGAGAGGAATGTTTAACATTCTTCTTTCGATAATAATAACAACAACATATCGCTGTTGATGATGAAAAAAGTAAATAATTTATTGACAGCATTTCTTTTTTTTTTTATTAATATTATTGACCTTCTTCGAAAATGTTCATGTGTTAAATAACCATGTCATTGTTTGTATTTTGATTTACTCAGCCGAATACATTTATATGTATATCTATATATGGAATCTATAGACTGAGTATGATATTTTAGTAGCGGCTCCGCCTTTACATCTGGCTAAAACGATAGAGCAACAAAAAAAAAAGCTTTCATCTCATTGCCTTAAGGGGAAACGTCGTATAACATTGATCTCGACGTACGTTCAAGAAGTGGTAGTAGTAGTAGTAGTCGTCGTTGCAGCTCTGAAGCAAGAAAAGCTCCAGGGTACTCCGATCATCATAATCATCATCAAGCTCCATTAACACGTCCTGTTTGAATGAACGAGCGTTTCTCTTTCGCTTCTTATATATAAACAAAAGAAGCAGTATATACATATATATATATATACATATACAACTGCGATATATTGATTTGATCAATCGCAAGATGTTAAAACATTGGATGACATCATTATACTTTGACCCCTAGATTTTCTTTTTGTTGTTTTCGATATAAGTAACACTGATGATTTCTATTTTCTTCGATTATAAAAATAAGATAATAGTCAATTAAATCATACCATTAAAAGTATATATGTATCTCAATATGTTCATCAAAGGAAAATTGAATGAGATAATGTCTGAGTTATATTCTTACTGAGAACAAAATACATCCTGCTGTTTATAATGGATTCATGTGTAGATCGAACGACATGTCTTTATTTCAACTAACAAATAACATTGAACAGAGATCATATTTCGACACGATCAACCATCTGTATACTCTTTATGACATTGACAATCATGAAACGTGCTGATGATATGTTAAAAGTGAAAGGGAAAGTTGAATTTAGTTTTTAATCTATCATCAATAGACATAAGTCACGAACTAAAAATTAACTTAGATGATATGCAGGTAGAAAAGTAACGACAAGTGGGTGGACAGAATGCCACTATCCATTTTCTCTTTAGCGATCAAGTGACAAGTCACTTCTCTTTTTTTTTCCTCTTTACTTTTACTTGTTCATTCGTTCAGTTGCCGTAAGGCATACTTTCAATCACAGTAACAATGTGATGGCGGTAAAATGGTTGTTAACTCACTCTTTTCTTTTACTGTCCGATTGAAATCTCTCGACTCTCTAATGGATGATAATTGCTGCTAACTTACTCATCGTCTGTTTTTTCAAACATCAATCTATATACCTATGTGATACATACTTATCTTATCCAAATAGACTTGTCATTATATCGGACATATGTACATTGAATGATGAGGACATTTGAAATAAAAAACGAAAAAAAAGAAAAAGAAATAATTAATTCTCAATGATATGATGATTAAAATCTATCCATGATTTTTTCTGTTGCTGTAAGAATAGAAAAAGAAAGAGAAACGCTCTTTTTTATTAAGAATTTCCGGTATATGCATGCATAAGTTAGTTGCATGTTACAATCCTATTAGTGAAATGTGTGAAAATCGAATGTTGATGAGGAAAGGGTGGAGAACTTAGAAAAAAAAAATTCGCTGTCGTCTGTCTTCCATACTAATTATTATATGGCTGTTTGAGGGTGTGTGTGTGTGTAGAACCGTATGGCATTAAAAACAATCTACTTATATATACATAACTAAACAATGATAGAAAAATTTAGTCTTGTCTTATTAACATGCTGTATTTTTTAATATACAATTAGATGTAAATGAGAGAAGAATGATGGTTTAAAATAGACAATCAGGTAAATGTACTTAGATAAATGATGATTGATAATATATTTAAATGAAATAAAGATGTCATCGAAATGGTTTGTATTCAATTAGGATATAAGGTGATGATATCAATATAGCTTACAAAAATAAATCACTTTATGAAAGAATAATAAACATAGTATGATTATCAATTAGTAATGATAGGAAATTTTTTTTTCTTAATATAACATTAACAGTTACTATGTTGATGACAATCTTAATTGAAAAATCTAATTGTAAATGACAAAGAAAGAAGAAAATATATATATAGTATGACTTCTATAAGGTGAATTAGTTCAGATTATTTTATGATGAAAACAACCAAAGAGAAGTAATAGAGTACAAAGAGGAACATTTTATTTTAATGTTAATCATACAAAGTACGTGATGTCTACAATATTATGCCAATGAGAAACCGGATTTTCATAAGAAACGGATGATAGCATGAATAATCTAACACAATAGTAAACATTCAATTCATAATGTCATTATAAATTAGTTTCATGTGTAACTTCACAATATTATGTTGATAGAAAATACCTATTTTAAGATCTTCAATAAAGTCAATTATAGAATTACAATGATTAAACATAATGAAAAAAAAAAGAAAAAGTATAATAATAGCTTATGAACACATGAAATTTTATACAATTCGATGTATCATATAAATATATATACAACATTGATAGTTAAATGTTTATTTTCATTGTAGATTTTCTTTTACCAATTTGTCTATTGTTGTATCGATATGTTTAAGCAGACGAACTGTTCTAAAAATGTTGATATAATACTAATGGATAGAATAGCAATCTTAAAAAGATACATAAATAAATTTCATCAAGATTTTCTTAATCAACAAATTCTGAATATATAAGTTTACATTCAATGCGAAAATATGTTTTATATTTTTTTCTGCTATAAATAAAACTTTCACGTCATTTTCTAAATCTCACCATTTGTGTAAAATAAATGGATCAATAAAGATTTTTATTACTTTGATAAATTTTACAGTGAAAGACTTTGAGATACAAGAGAAAATAGCGACAAAAATAAACTCAGGTATCTTACAATAGGTTTTACAACATTCTATATAGTTCGAGTTGGTTGGTATTCATCAGAATTGTATCTTTAAACGTTGTTAATTTATGAATTATTAATCAAACATCAAGGGATGACAAGAACACATTCGGTTAGTAATTAGAATCAATTGAAACGTCTTTTATAACGCCAAAAAACTTTGTATCAACTAGATCTTGATAAGCTCTGTTGTTAATAGTTCTTCATAAAACAGAATATTTTCAAAGGACAAGATCCACAAATTAAAAGATTCAATCTAGTTTTGCATTCTCGTATAAATATTAAAATAACTTTACCGGATAAAACAGCTACTAAGCGACCTCTAATAAATAGTTTTACAATGGTTACTATCGAACCAATTACTAGAAAAATAAAAGAGGACGAAAAAACATTCGATGTCAAAATAAAAATTCTTCTTATTGTCATCAATGCTTAATTACGTACATGAATATTTTTAATGTAAATAACTACTAATAATACTAAAGTTATGTCTCAATGAAAATCTTTTAATAAATATCATAGATGATTCCTGTTCGACCAGCAAAACGTTTTCAATCATCTGCCAATGTTAAATCTGATCGATTGAGAAAAGGAGGCCTTTTAAAAGGTCAATTTTTATTTGCACCTGATATATGTATACCTGAAGATGAAATCTCGCCGTCAACTCCACAAGTACCTGTTGAAACGTAATAAGAAAAATAATAAAATTTATTTTATTTTATTTTTTTAAAAATATTTTTTTTTCTCTTTATTTTCTTAGTGAAAAGTCTATTAAACTAACAAAGAAAGTTTTACATGATGATAATAATGAATCACTTTTAACATTACGTCGAAGTAAACGTCAACTAAGTAAACAATTAGGTATAACAAAATATAAATCAGCAACATCATTTGACTCATTTATTGAAACAAGATGTGAAGATGGTTTAGAAGCACGACATACTGGAACAGTTCGAGGACGTGGTGTATATACGACAAAGAAATTTTTTCGTAATGACTATATTGTCGAATATGCTGGAGAATTATTAACACAAGCTGAAGCTAAACAACGAGAAAATATCTATGGACGTAATCATAATATTGGATGTTATATGTATTATTTTAAATGGGGTGAAAAAGTTTTTTGTGTTGATGCAACGGAAGAAACAAATCGACTTGGTTAGTATAAATTAATCAGTAGAATTCTATATTACGTTCTCTGTATAAATCATAGTACAAAAAAAATTAAATTTTTTAAATATTTATGTAAACAAATTAATTTTGTTCTTATGTAGGTCGTCTAATAAATCATAGTCGAAAAAATAGCAATTGTCAACCAAAAGTATTTGTTGTACGAGATCAACCACGTCTTGTTTTGGTTGCATTACGTGACATTGATATAGGTGAAGAATTATTTTATGATTACGGTGAACGTCGTAAAGATATTATTGAATCATTTCCTTGGTTACTCGAATAATTTTTTCTTGATTGATTATATAATGTCTATAATATAGATCTGTATGATCTAAAACAAAACGTTTTAATTGGATCTCTTATCAGGATATGTTTTTTTCTTCTTCTTCTTTTTTTCTGTCTGCGTGCACACATACAAATACTTTACTGCTAGTCATATTTTTTTTTGTGTATCTTTGCCTTCTTATTTTTTGGCTTTTGCTCCTTTTCTATATGTATATAAAACCAAATAGATCCAGATCATTTCTTGTTGGATGAATAATTTATTTATTCTATTTGATTATGAAATATATTTCAATAAATATAAATATGATGAAAACGACATGTACATTTTTATCTGATCAACATAAGCTTTTACTCATTTATAAAATAAATTATCTTAAGATAATAATCGATTCAGGTAAAAGCAAATGATATAATTTTTTTTTTATAAATATGAAAATAAAAATATTGCCTTATAAAGAATTTCAATATTTGCTGATAATATAAAATACAAATCTTCTCAAAACAAAATAATGATTTTTTTATATTATGTAAGTAATATTTTCATAAGAACACAAAATAATTTTTTGTAAAGTAACAATTTCTATAAATGTGATATAACGATGAAAGAATTTGTAAAGTAGTCATATTAGTCTTCGATTTTTTAGACTTAAAAGTCTTCTAAGTTAGTTTAAACAACTTTTTTTTTCTTCTTATTAATAATAATGGCAATTGAAGAATAAGCTTATGAACAAAAACTCATCTTGGAAATATCCCTGATTTTCATTGAATTATAAAAATGTTGTAATCTTTCGTCATATTCCGCGAAAAATAAACAAATAATTCTCGACGAAAAATATTTTATTTCGAAATCAAAACTTCCTAATTATTCTCGTGAGTAACGTTTTATACATCACGTTTTTTTTCTCTTCAAATAATGACATCTATATAAATATCAATCCATGATTGGCTGAGAGTCCTCTATCAAACTATTCTCTCGTTGCTCCATTCTAATCATCCCGTCCGATTCGTGTTTATTTCTCCTTCTATCGTTTTTGCTCGATTCTCGTGTATGTGTGTGTGTATGAGTGTCTGTCTATGCATCTTATAAGTGCGCGCGCCTTATAGATCATTGATTTTCTTTAAGTAAAATATTGATTCTCAAATTTGTCATGATTTTAAATTTATAAAAAAATAAAAAGTCCAATGAGTCAAACGAGACAAACATCCGGTTTAACAACATCAACATCTCATTATACTTCATCAAGAACAACAAATTCTCCATCGATAAAAGCTCTTCAACTTGAATATTCGAAATTACAAAAAGAACCTGTTGAAGGTTTTACTGTTAGTCTTGACGATGATTCTAATTTATATAAATGGCATGGTAATATTATTATCTTGTTTTTTCTTTTAAATAAATAATTTTCATTCGATTATTTCAGTTGGAATTTTCGGACCACCAGAAACGCTGTATGAAGGTGGATATTTTAAAGCTGATATGGAATTCCCCACAACTTATCCATTTGCACCACCAAAAGTTTGATAATTTTTCTTCTTTTTGTATATTTTAATTATTAAATTTTTCTTTATTTATAGGTTCGTTTTCTAACGAAAATGTGGCATCCAAATATTTATGAGTAATTACATACAAAGAAAAATGAAGAAAAATAATTTTTATATTTTTTTAAATTAATATTTATTTTAGAAATGGTGAAGTATGTATATCAATACTTCATCCTCCCACTGAAGACCCTCAATCGGGTGAACATCCAAGTGAACGTTGGAATCCTACACAAAATGTTCGAACAATTTTAATGTCAATAATAAGTTTATTAAATGAACCTAATTGCTCATCCCCTGCTAATGTCGATGCAAGGTAAATTGTTTTTTTGTTACTAAATTAAATGATTTTTTTCGTTTATAAAAGTATTATGTATCGAAAATTTCACGAACATAAAGATAATGAATATGAAACAATTATTCGTCGACAAGTTAATGAATCAAAATTAGTAGCTGAACAGGAAGGTATATCAATACCTAAAACGCTTGATGATTATGTTGCACCATCACGTGCTGGTGCAGCTGGAAATAAAAATGATAAAAAATCCTATTCAAATTCTTTATCACATGAAGATGATGATGATTTAGGAATTGATGTAAGTTATTTAAAAAATAAGAAATTATAATAAATTAATTTGTTCTTTTTGTTTCTTAAGGATGATGATGAACAAATGGCTGATATGGGTGGAGATGATGATGATGCATCATATAATGACAGCGATTAAAAATAAATAAATAAACTGTGATTTTAATTTGACATACGTTAACGCTTTTTGTCGTACAATCAAGAGCATATCTTCACTTCATTTCTCTCTTTTCTTCTTTCGTCTTCATTGTATCTTTTGTTCTCTGTAGATTTTCAAAAAACAAATTAACTAAGCAATTTTCTTTTTTTTTCCTAAATTTAAAGGTGCTGACATGGATATTATAATTATTCTAGATATGTCATCAGATTCTGTTGGTTTATTATCATCGCCAGAACGATCAAGTTCACCATCATCATTAGATCATATCGATGATAATGATTATCTTATATCAACAGCAACAACAACTCAGATATTTAATGATTATACCGGTACAATATTACAACAACCACGATCACCTGGAAAAAGACAATTAACTATTGAAGAATCACTTATTACAACTAATGATCCAAAACGTCTTTGTAACAGGTAAGAGAAATGTAAAGAATTGTGTTCTTTCTTTTTTTTCTTTTTCTTGTGTATATAATGCAAAGAAACGTTTAAAAATGAGAGGAATGCATCGATGACGTAAAATGTAAATTATGTATTACGAATGAAAAGAAAAGAGAAAAATTTACTATAGCAACTATACGATTAAAAAACAATAAGTCAGTTAATGCTCTTTCTACATTCAGCCACTGTGTAATAAACGACAAAGATCAATAGGTGTGTGTTTTTTGTTAATGTCGTAACAACTTATAATTCTCAAGTTTTACTTTCATATACTATTGTTTGATAAAATAATTTCTTTTTTCTCTTCTAATAACTAAATACATAAATTAATATTTATTTAATTATTGTTTTTTTGCTTTATTTATTTAGTAATTTTCGAGAACAGATTGATCTAAATTTAATTTCATCGACTAGTCTAAATACTCCATTATCTTCGTCAAATTCCATTGATTCTCTATCGATTCCATCATCACCTGTCACACCGCCTCTATCAGCTGATGTCATTAATTGGTTATCAGTATTTTTGGCTATGTCAAATGATGATCGTAGTCGAGCAACAGAAGCACTTATACGTACATGTTCAACAAATACTCTTCAATTAAATCATATTAAAAATCAAATAGAACCATATTTTCAACGTGATTTTATTCGTGATCTTCCACGAGAATTAGCATTACATGTATTAAAATATTTACCAGCAAGTGATGTTGCACGAGCATCACGTACATGTCGTGCTTGGTATGAAACGTGCAATGATATATTATTATGGAAACGTTTGTGTCAAACACAATCAATTCCATTAAAACAATTACCAACAATATTTGATGACACAATTGATAATCAATGGAAACGTTCATATACTTGTCATAAACATTTAGAATATGTATGGCAACATGGTGAACCATTACCCGAGCCATTAGTATTACGTGGTCATGAAGATTTTGTTATAACTTGTTTACAATTTGATGGAAAACGTATTGTATCAGGTTCAGATGATAATTCTTTAAAAATTTGGTCAGTAGCGACTGGACAAGTAAGATAATTTGTTTTTGTTTTTCTATTGAAATTAATTGAAATTATTTTATTTTTAGTGTGAACAAACCTTGGTAGGACATAATGGAGGAGTATGGTGTAGTGAAATGACAGATGATCTAATAGTCAGTGGAAGTACAGATCGAACAATTCGTGTGTGGAATATAAATACGGGCATATGCCAGCATGTACTATATGGACATACATCAACAGTACGTTGTTTGGCGTTACATGGTGATATTGTTGTATCCGGTTCACGTGATGCAACTGTTCGGTAATAACATTTAGTTTTTTTGTAAATTGAATCTAAGTAAAAAATTTTTTTCTTTATTTTAGTGTTTGGAATATTCGTACAGGTGAACGTCTCCATATGCTAAGTGGTCATACCGCAGCTGTTCGATGTGTTTGTTATAATGGCAAATACGTTGTATCAGGTGCATATGATCATACTATACGTGTATGGTTACCTGATCAAGAACGATGTGTACATACACTAGAAGGCCATACAAATCGAGTGTATTCACTTGTCGTATGTATCTATCGATTAATTTAAAATTTCTTTTTATCATTTAATATTTTGTAGTTTGATGGTAAACATATTGTATCCGGTTCATTGGATTGTATGATTCGTGTATGGGATGTTGAACAAGGTACATGTATACATCAATTAACTGGTCATTTATCATTAACAAGTGGAATGCAATTGCGTGGAAATATTCTTGTATCTGGTAATGCAGATTCAACTGTAAAAATTTGGAATATTGATTCTGGGAAATGTTTACATACGCTTGCTGGTAAGACAAAATTTTATTTGAATAAATTAATTTTTGTTTTTCTTTATTTTTCTAGGACGTAATAAACATGCATCAGCAGTAACATGGGTTCAAGTTGTACTGAATTATGTTGTGAGTTCGGGTGATGATGGAACGGTTAAACTATGGGATTTAGAAACAGGAGATTTCATTCGAAATCTTGTTGCACTTGAATCAACTGGGAATGGAGGTAAGAGGAAATATACTATTCTAAAAATATAATAGAGTCATCATGTTTTATTGCAAAAAAATGTTTAAATGCAGTCAGTTTACAATGGGAAGAATATTTCAGTAAATGAGTTACTATTAATAGATCTTTTGAGACAGAGCAAATTGAAGAGATCGGAAATCTTTTGATATTCTTTAGATTGAAGTTAATGCGAAACTATTGTTATCATAATGAATACTAAAATTTAGTATTCTTCATTTATTCACGCGTAAACTGCTTCGTAAATGACAAACTAAATATGTCTTGACCTCTAAAAGATAAAAATATACTAATAATAAATTCAAGGGATTTTGTTTTTGATAAGAAAATAATTGAATAATCGTTTAACAATTTATATAGATAATAGTTTAAATAATATAATAAATAAATAATTTATATTTCTTTATCTTGTTTTTCTAGGTGTTGTATGGCGTATTAAATGTACAGATTCCGCATTAGTATGTGCTGCTGGAAGCCGGAATAGCACTGAAGATACAAAAGTGATTATGCTCGATTTTGATCGTACGACGATCTGTTCATAGTGTATTTGATTGTGCATGTATGCGTGTGTGTGTTCCTATTATTTTTTTTTGTCTTTAATTATATGTATCTTTTAAAACGTTTGTTCAAATGTCTATAGATCTCTTCTTCTTCCTTCTTTGTATTATGTCTTTGTCATCATCTGTTATTGTTCATTTATTTTTTCGTTTAGTTACTTCTGCTTATTTTTTTTTCTCTCTCATTGATTGATTTGTTGTGTGCCAACTGTTCATCTTTCTTTCTTGTCGGTCTTCCTTCTTCTCTGTCTTTACATTGTCCTTTGTCTCCTTCATTTTTATATATATATATTATTATTATTATTATTATTACTATGATCATCATCTCATCACACTATCGTTCTTTGCATCACGTCTTCGTCCATTAGTAAGAGAAGAAGAACGCGGTAAAAAATATATACATGTGTATGAAGACAAAAAAAAAGGAAATAAAATAAACTTGAACTAGTTTTTTTGGTATATAGAATATATTATTTTTATTTTTTATTAAAAAGAACGCAAAAATATTCAAGAGAATCAATACTAATCCAGTATTCATCTCTTAACAGTAGATAGTGACCATGTGCATGACAGAAATTCTTTGTTACTATTAAGAGCATGTATAGACAAAAAAAAAGCTAAATATTCATGTGTTATTTACATCTTAATAGTAACATACTTTAAATGAAAAGACACTCATTTCAAGGTTTCGTTGACATTCTTTTTCATTATAGACATACTATGTTATCATATATACTGATATTCGTTATTAGAAGAGTAATTCAAGGTAGTATATGACAATTTTATTTTAAATATACGATATCAAATAGATCATTTTCTGACATATATTAATGAAGTTATTGATTTTTATTTCTAAATAAATAATATAGTTTACAATATAGACGATAATAGGTAGTCAACTGTAAACAACCTTGATTATAGTAATCTAATACTTAATATTGTTTGTTATTTTATCACTGTAATTATGATGAGAAAACATTTTGAAGTTATTATTGTTGTTTCTGTTAGTATTCGAAAATATTTTGCAATAAGACATAAGAAACGTGTAGTACGAAAAACAAAGAAATGCACAAAAGCTAATTGACATACATAAATAAGGCTTTTGTTGAATATTATTACATAAAATAATATAAAAACAAGAAAATATTGTAGTATAATATCAAAATACTATTGCTTCAATAGACAAAGCGAGGGAATATTTAGCATACCAATGAAACTACCTACGGCATCTAATGAAATGATTATAAATCATATGATATTCGTAGGTACGTCATATGATAAGATATTTAAAAGATAAGCGGATATTGAGATGATTATTAAATTTCTAATGTAAGACTAAGTTAGATAATTAAAAGATTATGGTGAAATGTAAATGAAACATTTTCTTATGTAATTTTTTCATTAAAAATAATAAAATCATTTTTAGTCACATGGTACAAGCCGAATCATCACGTGTACATTGCTGTTGATAGGATGATTTTAGATTATGAAAAAAATTCTATGTATATTTTTATTTGATTTTTTAATGTAAATATATCAATATTAAATATTCAAAATAAAATCGTTTAAATTCATCTAATGTATTGTGTAAATATATATGACATCTACCAAAAGACATGTTTTTATGATAAATGTCGCGATACTGTTGTGTGTGTCATATGACATTTGAAAAAATGATTACAATAAATCATATGACCTGTTATAGACTACGAATAAAATTAAAATTAATTTATAAGAGCTTTTAACGTCTATTCTATAGCAATTTAATTCTATGAATATAAATTCATCTATCTTATGATGGAAAAAAAATTCTTCTAAAGATAAAATTTAATTGTGCATCGTTATATAACAACTAGAAGCAATGTGTGTCTGGTACAACGAATCGGAAGATGAAAGCTATATTTTAAAATATGGTGTCTAACATACAGGAATAGAAATTTTCTATCGCTATATTTCGATGTTTCTCATCAAAATATCACATGAGGGTTCACTTTCTTTGTCTATAGTCTTATTTTGTCATTCTCATTAATTCTAAAGTATCATATTATTTGTTCTCATCAGTATAAATATCCTTAAATAAAAAGCTGTCTATGTAATAATTATTTATTGATAATAAAGCAATGAGTGAAGAGGAAAACTTTCATAATAAAATCTTCATATTATTAAAAAAGAATGAGAAGAAAATAATTTTTCCATGCGGAATATTATTCTGTTAATATTTTAATTGTATCTCATTTAGAAAAATCTTTTTACGAAGTTTATATTTTCTTTTTTATACTTAGTAATTCATTGAGTTATTTGTATTATTATAAGAAATATTCTATAACTATCGTGCATAGTTTATTATTTACCTTACGTAAAAATAGCATTTAATCTTCGTATGATTAGGAGACAATGAATTTCGTACGAATTTTTATTCCAGACTATATTCTCTTTCTCGTAGAGAAGAGTCCAGCAGAAATAAACTGTTTGTTTGTTTGCTTGCTTGCTTGTCAGTCCACAGAGTCAAAAAAACATCGAAAACTGATTTTTTGAAAAACACATTTCTAGAGGTATTGCGAAGCAGGGACTTCGAATCCGATGTTAGTGTTTGCAAGTTAAATAAGCAAAAGGTCCTGTATCATTGTAGAACACCATTTCTACGAGAAAGAGCTAAGCGAGTCCTTAGAGGAGCGTTACTTGTTTACAAAAAGGAAAATAAATACTTAATATTAGTTTAATGGGATATTGTTTTTATCGTTAATATAAAATAGATTAATTTCATATAGTCTTTAGATAAATATGAAAGAGATCCTTTTATTTTTTTATAAGCGCATAGTTTAATATCTTACATTTAACTTTACATGTGTTAATATTCTAAAAATCTTATGTATTTTTCTTACAAAAGGAATAAAGATAGTTCGTATTACAGTGAAAAAAGAAACGACGTATATTATATCGTTCATTTATAAGGTCTTCGTAGGCTATATTTCCACTCGTTATACTAACCCGTGAATTTTTAATTATAATTATATATTTTCTTCTAGCAAGAAAAATTCTTTTTTCATCTTTCATAATTAAACAGATTCTTCTCAACCGAAATAATAAGACTATGTATATGTTGACATATATTTTCATTAATATTAGATTATTTTAAGGTCAAAATAATGATCTTTTCAGTTTTTGATAACTCACATTTTATATAATACGATAAATGAGAAGGATAACTCCCGCATGACTTTTAAGAAAATAAATAAATTAATACTCGCAGCTTATATTTCATTCTATGTAAAAAAAAGACAGCATAAAAATAAGTGAGCAGGATTAGCTAAAATTATAAAATTTCATTTTTATCTCGATCTTCTTTATAGACCATACTATTTCATTATTTAAAACAATGTCATCACCATATATACTTCAAATCAATTTCATTATTGAACAAATGAATATTTATGTTGCATTAGTTATATTTATTACCGGTATTATTGGTGGATTACTTAATATTATTATTTTTACATCATTAAAAACTTTCCGTCGTACATCATGTGGATTTTATTTAACTGTTACTTCAATATTTAATGTTGGTCAAACATTATCTGCATTAAGTACACGTATACTTGATTCTGGATTTTCAATTAATCTTACAAATGTGTCATGGTCATGTAAAATTCGTACATTTGTTGCACAATCTTGTGTTTTACTTTCATTAACAAGTATGTCATTAGTAACAATTGATCAATTTATATCAATGACAAGGTATAAACATTTTAGCAATTTACGATTAGCTCATCGTCATATAATAATAAGTTGTTGTATTTGGTGTTTTCATGGAATATTTGTTTTTCTCTATTGGGATGCACCAAATGGTAGATGTACTTCACTTATTAGTTTGGGATATGAAAAATATCTATCATATTTTTATCTTCCTGTTCTTCTTGGATGTCTGCCTATATTTATCATGATTACATTTTCATTACTTGCATTTATTAAAATTCGTACATTAGCTAGTCGTCAAATAAATATCGTACGTTTAAGTCGTGATCGTCAATTAACTGCTATGGCATTATCACAAGTAGCATTTACTGTCTTCGTATCTCTACCTTATACAATTTTTAATATTTATAATTTAAATACTGTGACGACAAATCAAGATGAATATGCTCGTGATCAATTAATTGGTACAGTTACTGTTTTATTATATTATGAAAATTTTGCAGTAAGTACTTGAAATGAATAAATAATTATATGTAAAATAATTGATTTCTTTCTAGAGTTCATTTTATATATTTTGTTGTGTATCAAAACGTTTTCGAAAACAATTTATATATGTTATATTTAAAATTCATTTAAATTGGCTAAGAAAACTATCTAATAATTTAAAGAGTAATCAAATTGCACCTAGTATGGAATTATCAATTGATGGACGAGTTGGAAAAGCAAATGTTACTATTCATGATGTTTCAATTCAAACATCATAAATATTTTTTAAATAAAAACTTTCAATCTAATCTTTTTTTTTGCTCAATAGTTCTGATAAGTATGTCATTTCAATGAAGACACATACTCATATATTCATGCATACATATGTGTGTCTACTCCTCCTTCCTTTGTTTTGAGTATGAGCTAACTGAGATTCATCTTGATATACGTGTTAAGTTGATATTAAGTGGTGGCCAATTGTTCAATTTAATTCATTTGTTCACTACTAGCTATATTATATCCAGGCAGATAAGTTGATCACACTGGCAGCTGCCAAGAGAGAAGACATGGATAGTTGTCTATATATATTTTCAATTGGTTGAATCGTAGTTCTCATATTGTAACACTTGAAATAGGTTAGTCTATTTTGTATGTGTGAATTTGACAGAATATTTTGACATACTTGATCAAAATGAAATGACACAATTGAAATAAAGTAAGAAGAAAATCATCCGAGATAATCATGATGATCATAAAGAAGGAAAAAAACATCTCATTTTTAAAGTACACAAATCTCTTTTTATAATCATAAGACTATTTAAATGATGAATTATTGTATCTAATCAAAACACAAAAGTTTGAAATTTATTAAAAACAAAACAATGAACATAATATAAATTTAATTATTTTTTTTTTGTTTTATTTGACAAAATACAGATCTATATTATTACAAGCAAGATGAAGGATGATGGTGATGAAGATGATGATTGTGATGATGATGATGATTTTTGGCAGCATCAAGCATATCAAACATAAGATTAATATAATCAATCGCTGATTTAAGTGTTTCTGAACGTGATAATTTATTTCGTGCAAATTCTGTGACTGGTAAAACTTTTCGTAATTCTTCAAATGCACGATTAAGTTTAAGCATACGTCGTTTTTCACGTTGTGTTGCTTCAGCACGTTGAACACCATTTAAAACTCGTTTTCGTTTACGTTTTGATCCATTTGGACGTGATGAACGACGTTGACCTGTTGTTAATGTTTTATTATTATTTGTTGAATTATTATTTATTCGTTTGGTTAAACGATATGTTGAATCTCCATCATCATCATCATCATCGTCGTCGTCATCATCATCATCTGAACCATCTTCTAAATCATTCTCATCATTATCAGAATTCATAACTGTTGTTTGATAAGGTACATAAAATGAATTTGAATTTGCATTTTCATGTGGTAAACGATAAACATCAGATATTATATCACCATTATTTAAATGATATGTTGTTAGAAGTGGTGGTGGTGATGATGATGTTTGATGATGAGGATGATGATGATGTTCACTATCAGGTATTCCATTAAACCATGTATTAGGATTTGAATAAGCTGCTGGATGTTGATAAGTAACTGACGGAAGTGAAGTTGATGAAACTGGACCAAGGTCCTCGTATTGTGAATAATAAGCCAGTTTTTATTTTTGATCGAGCTAAAATATAAAATTCGGATTAAATTTATTGTTTTTTTTCTCTATGATTAATACGGCATCAGTTTGTTCTCAAACACTTAGAAATCTGTTGCGCTCTACAATAATAAATAGTCATCATCAAACAACATGATACTTTTTTTTTTGTTTTTTATCCCAGTTGTTACCTTAGTCTATTATCGTTGACGTCGTTGTCGTTGAGAGTGAAGTGATTGCTTTAGAGAAAAAGAAGAAGAAGAAAAAAGGTGACTTGTTTGTTTCTATTGATTGGATAGAAGAAAATCGATCATTAATATCATATTCTTTTCCTATTGGATATCATTACCTGAGAAAAAAAATCTCAGCCAATGCATATATTTATTTTCTCATTTGATATTAAGATTTTTTCTTATTCATCTATTCTTCTTCTCCTGATCGATTTATTAGAAGAAAAAGAAAAAAAAAGACAATGACTTTGGTCACAGCTTGTTATTTGATAAAGAATAGAAGACAAAAAAAGAAAGAATCCATTTTCGTTGGCATCAGCAGTGCATCTCAAATAGCTTCAAACATTACAATAAAAATTATATAATGATAAGACAAAATGTCTAGATACGGATAACTAAACATAATGTTCAAGCATGATGATCATCAATTTAATGCTAAGCAATACGTATACACCTGTATCGATAAATGAAATTTCTCTTTTCTTTTGATCTTGAAACATAAATTAAATTTTTCCTGGTCAATTGATTCAAGAGTTTGTGCGGCATTAAGTAGCATATCATTTCTTTCTCATCATGAAAAATACTTTAAAACAAAAAGTCGCACAGCATGTTAAACAAAAAAAGAAAAACGGTTCAATGAACATATACATACACGTGTGTGATATTTAATCAATAATAAGAAGGAGAGAAAAAAAACAAAGGTGAGTAAGATCAACATAGCCTTAAGGATAGTCTTATTCTAATCAATAACACTTCCACAACTTGTTGGTGTATCATCACAAATCGATGATGAATTCATTTGATAGGTACATGTATCTGTCCATTGATTTAAAACAACATTGGCATTCAAAGATGCTTCATCAACTGTTTTACCACTTAGAACAAGTTCAGTCATAAATGCAATATATATAATTGCTAAACGAAGAGTTTCAATACGTGATAATTTTTTTTCATAGGCAAATATAGGAACAATTTCACGTAATTGATCAAATGCTTCATTTAAACTAAACATACGTCGACGTTCACGAACATTAGCAGCACGACGTTGAGCTAAACTAGCAATACGACGACGTTTAGGTTTTGTTTTAACAAGACGATTTGTAATTAGAGATTGATTATGTATAGATGAAGATGTTGTTTCAGACCAATTGGAATCAAATTGATAATATTGATGAGAATATGTATCATTTGTTGAAGATATTATTGGTTGAGGAAAATGATAATCATCCATAAGTGTTGTTAATGATGTAAGACCTATGTTCGATGTATTTTCATTGATAATATCATCATCACCAAACATCATCATTGTGACGAAGGTCGAATAAATGATAAAAAAAAGTACTATGAAAAGCAATGATTACAGTTCGATGTAAAAACTATTTCCAAGATTGATCAAGCTGACGCCTTGGATGTAACAACAAAAAATTGATATATCATCATATGATTGTCACATTACTATTTTGTTTTAAATAGAATTGATAATGAAAATATATGAGCAGTGACATATTGTTACGAAATTATTTTAATTTGATGTTCGAAAAAAAAAATTCTAAGTGGAATTTTATGATTACTTTGATAAAAACGATTAGCGGTCTCGCTATGATGCTTCTTTTGAAATTCAGAAACGATGTGATTACTTTTTATTATCGAAGGTGAACGATGAACATACATTTATTTATCAGTGGATTTTAATTTCTTTACTGATGTCTTTCCGAAAATATTGAATATTTCGGACATTTACATTTATTTTTTTTTCAAGCTTGATTAAAAAGAAAGAAAAAAAAAGAAGTCAATGTTTTGTTAAAGATTATTTTAATCTTCATAATCATCATTACGATTAGGAACAATTGGTGGTGGACGATTACGTGTATCACCATTTCTATTGTTTGTATTTTGATTTCGATCAACATAACTAGTTGCACTATTTGAATCATGTGAACTATAACCATTACCAATTTCATATAAATCAAATTCTTTCCAATCATTAATATCTGGACAAAATCGATTTGTACCTGTATTACGATGAAGTGGAAATGATGGTTCACATCGTTCCTCTAATAAAATGCAACAAGAAAAATTTTCACGTAGATAAAAAGTAAGAAACATATGAATAAAATTTACCGTAATCTTCTCGTGCTTCTCGTTTTTGTTCTTCACATTTCGTTGCACCAGGATGAAATAAACTTCGTTTTAGAAAATGATTGGCATCAACCGCTTCTATACATAGATAAACAAATTATAAATATAGAAATTTTCAAAGTAATAAAGAAATTATTTTAATGATGTCTATATTTATTTATTAATGAAATAAAAAAGATCTTTATCAAGCACAAATGAAAAATTTGAAAAATAAAACAGTTTGTCATTCTATTCATCTTGAAACATTGCTCGTCTTTTAAGTCCCGTAACTTTATTATAAACTCGATCTTTCACTTCATCAGCTGTTGGTAATTTAGGTAATTTAGGTAGTTTAATATTTGGTTTAAGATCGTCTAATGTTGGAAGACCATCGTTAATTTCATAATTTTTAAATGCTTCCCATGCATTTAAATCAGGACAATTACGTTGTGTTCCTTTATTACGATAGATTGGATTACTTGGTTCACATCGTTCTTCACTTTAGAGAGTGAGAAAAATTTGGCGTATAGATACGTTTATTTTGTAAAAAAAAGAAATTATAACTTACTAATCCTCTTTAGCCTCACGTTTTTGTTCCTCACATTTGGTCTTAGTAGGATGAAAGATGGATCGTCGAAGGAAATCAAGAGCTTTCGAACGATCTAGAATATATAGACGAAGTAAGAAAGATTAAGTATGAACGAATACAAAAACAATAAACATATTTATGCGTAGGATATATTCAAAAGTATTAGATGAATTGATATATATCATCAAATATGAGATAAGTAATTCAATCATATATATAAAAAAAACAAATTGTCACTTGTCATCATTAATATTTCGGTTTCTACTGAGATTAATCCATCGATGATATCTTTAATAATATTCCACAGATTTACGATTTACAATATTAAGATGTTCTATATATCGGATTCAAAACCATCTTCTCTTTTGTTTTGTAGTATTAATATCAAATTATGATTTATAATTACAGTACGATGGAATTCACGGTTTATATTTTATTCTGCCAATGGATATTGCTATGTCGAAAGTTCTTTCGAACTGTATGATTGTCTATTTCATATACCATCATGTTAGGATAAAGAATCTTATGTATTTAATAAAAATCTTCATTTGATATAGATAAAAAGGAAAGATTCGATTTTTCTTCTGTTTTTATTTAGTATCGAATGGTTTGTCAATGAGTAAAAGAATCATATTGAAATATGAATTCAGTTATATTCGAGATTTTCGGTGATTACAAAAAAACAAGCGAAAATATAAAAACTAAAATTTTTACCTTCTTCAAAGCTTGCTTCATCATCAGCTTTTACACTATTCCAATTAATAGCCAAAACGCCAATTAAAACCAAAACTACAATTGAAACTTTCTTCATTTTCTATACAACAAAAAAAATCAACCATATAAATAAATATTGTAATAGAAAACTTTATACAATCTACCTCGGATACTTCTTATCGCAAATGCCTTTTTTTTCTTTTCTAAGAAAGTAACACTAATGACATATACGTACTGTTTGACTACAAGCTCGAATCAACAATAATAATATCTAACAGATGATTATTCATAATATTCTCGAAGAAAAAAAGACAAGTGCCGATTAATTATAAGTGTTGACAAACTTGTATAATATCTATATCATTCATCTTCTCTACTCGATGAATAGTTTTCATCACATAAAAGAAGATAAATGCTGTAGGATATAATTTCCTATTTAGAATACGAGAAGTAAAAAAAGAAAAGAAGTGTTTTCATACATATAATAGTTATTCTCGATAAGACATATAAGAATCGACTACTTATTCATATTTCGAATACTTTTTCAATATGAACAAATTCTTCGTTTTTATGGCATTGGCCATGTTTATTTTTGCTTTTGCTCATATGGCTCATGCTGATGAAGAAAGTGATGAAAATGAATATGGTATTCAAAATCTTTCATATTGAATATGTATATATATATGATTTATTTTTAGGTGCTAATGATGCACAACAATTTTTACAAAAACGTCTTTTTGGTATCCCATTTCCTCGTGAACAACGTCGAGAAGCTAAAGAAAAATATGAAGAACGGTACAAATACATTATTTAATTTGGATTTATATGAATTTAATTTGATTTAGATGTGAACGTGCTTTAGGTATCAATAAAGTAACTGGTCTTCAACGATGGTGCCCAAAACTTGAAGTAAAAAATAATTAAAATATATGTATATATATATATTATTTTTCGAATTAGGAATGGGATCAATGGCGTGCAGCAACAAGTAAAGATCGACGTGGTTAAATGACGAATGTCTTTAACAGTTATACAGAAACTTTTTATACTATAAAAATCAAGTTTAACAAATAAAATCATCTTTGTTCTATTAATCCAGCTTTTTTTAAAAAAATACTTATAATTAAATATTGTGAATTACATTTTTAAAAAGTTTCAATTTATATCACTAAATGTCTTCAAGATAAGACTAAACTTAAATAATATTAACATCATAAGTCTTAATTTTATAATCAGTAGAGAATATAATTATAATGAATAACGTATGATAACAGCAGTATCTATTTATTATTCATCGGTTTCAGATTCTTTCAAATTGATGAATCACTATCAAGTTATTTTTAGTTACAAACGTTCTTTTCTTTTATAAAATAATAATCATAACGAATCTATTGACTTTCGTTATTCATGTATTAGTAATGATATTTGATCAATTTCTTCCTCTTCGAGTAACAAAATAGTATGAGTATGTAAAAATAAGTACATTTTTCAAATCTATCGATTAATAATATAAGGATTAACTTTTTGTGAATAAATAAGTTATTTTATACGAGTCTTTGTTTTAATCGCAATAATATAAAAGAAAATACGAGCAAAAAAATGAAACAGATATGTGTCGCGTATTAACTTAGACTTCTAATAGTAAAGAAGGCCAAAAAATAAATACAGACACACATATACATAATATCATGATGAAATGACATCAACAACAGCAAAAAAATATAAACGTACGATATAAAAAACGATAGATAAAGACTTTTTTTTTAAATGTCTATAAGATCAACCAGAAAAGATAAAATAAAAGTAGAGAAGAGAAAATAGAAGAAAGGTTGTGACTACTGTTGTTTAAATTTATTCTGATTTGTGTTCACCATCTGTTTCTTTATGGTCATGATCACGTGGTTCTAATGGTTTGTGTTCAGTTTCACATGATGATGTTGTTGTTTCTTCTTGTTTTTTTTTATCTTCAGTACTGAGTTCATTATCATTTGTACTTGTTAATGGTGTTCCTTAAAAGGCAAAAAAACAATAATGAAACAAATTATATAAAGTTTATTTATATACCTTCAGTTTTAGAATTTTGATTTCGTTGTTTATGTGGTCGAGAAGTACGACGTTTTTGTTGTCCTTTGGTATTTCTTGGTGATTTTGTTTGTTTACCATTACGTGTTGGTGTTAATGGTTTAGATGTATTTCGTGATTGTCTTGATGAACCATTTACACGATGATCATCATGAATGAAACCATTTCCATAACTAATTATAATATTTTCGTAAAAACAAAATAACTTTTTTTTTTCTATTGTTCTTACCGAAATCCACCACGTTGTGATGAGTATAATGATTGTCGTTGTCGTGCATATGGACCTTGCCATTCATTAAGATCATATGATGGTACAATATCAAATGGAACATAACCGTCATCTTGATATGTCATACGACGACGTGGACGAGTTGGTAATTGTCCTTGTCGAGACATTTGACCATATGAATATGAATCATAATAATTATCTACACGTTGCTAAACGGGAAGAAAAGAAGAAAAAAATAAACGTTGATTAGATTTTATAAATAAATTTTTTAATCCTTACACGTGGTGCATAATAACCAGTAGTTTGATTAAAGTTTCGATTTGGTCGTTGAGTGAATCGTCGATTCATCATTGATGGCATTGGTTCGAGCCATAATTCATCATCTTCATCTTCCCATTGATCATCATAATATTCTTGTTGTCGTTGTGAACGACGTGGAGGATTTGGGCGACGACGACGATCACCACCATTAAGATTATTGTTATAATTATTATAATTATTATTATTTAATGAACGTGATTGTTGTTGACGACCATTTGTTGGTACTTGTTTAGGTTCAAAACGTTTTGGTAAAATAGCATATGGAATATGTGGTTGAGCAGCCATTTGATCAACAACACTTATTTGTTGTTGTGCACCACCTGAACGTGTACGACGTCGACGAGTCGAATCATTTGTTGGTCGATAATTTGGTGAACATGGTACATCATTCCAACCACCCATAAGTTGTTGATTGAATGAACGACGACGATTACGAGTGCCTGGTAATTGTCGTTGTGATGGTTGCTAGAAGAAAAAAAAAATAACCGTTAAATATTGATTATAATCATATAAAAAGATCTAGAAAATCTTACTTGTTGATTACTATCTGATCCATTACCACGAATAATTGATAAAATAGCTGAATCTGGTTCAATTGATTCAGTACCATTTGATGTTAATGGTCGTGATTTTGAACGAATGGTAACACGTTCCATTTGTGTTGTATAAGATTGTCGATAATTATTATGTTGTCGTGATATACCATTACTTGCTGATAATGGTGTTTTTCCTGTAAATGTAGCAAGAAATGCATCATTTGTTAATGGAGCTAAATCTCGTGGATTAAGTCCTGTGTTTGAAACAGCTTGAGTGCCAACATTTACCATAATTCGAGGTCCAAGTGTGTCCATTAAATAGATATTTTAACTTGAAATGTGTTTATAAATAAAATGACGATATACCTCTTCTTTTAAACTTAAATGCGTGCGATATGTATATGTTCGATCTGACAAATGAACGATGGAAGAAATATAACGATCGAAAGAGATGAGAGAGATAGAAAGAGAGATAAATTAGATATTAAACGAATCTTTTGTCTATTTATGTTTTCGAACCTCTACGTCGAACCAGACAATGAATATATAACAAGAAGATTCACTACACGTGGCCTCGATCGATATAGGCATAGTTAAAGTATGTCCAGGTCGGATAATGATATAGTAAACATTCATAGACGACTATAAAGAATGAATCATAGATATTCTTTTACTAAATTCTTATTATGTACAACAATATCGCTATGTCAAATAATAATCTAATATATTAAATAAAATATTTTTTAATATAAATAAAAATATCATTGAGTAAATTAATTAAAGTTTATTTTCTTGTAAGAATTAAGTAAATAAAATTTTTTTTTATTTTTGTACTTTTGAATATAAAAAAACAACAACAACAACAATGTTTTGATATTTTTCATGACACAAAGTCATTACACATGTCTAATCTTCTGTACTACGGATTTTTTTATTTATCTAACATAAGTACTTTAATCCAATATATAATCAATTGACATATACGATTCTAACACAAAATTCAGAGAAAACAAAAAAACGAGAATGTTACCATTTTGTATTGTTCTTTTTATCGTTGTTTTAACTAAAATCGACGGACAAGTAATAAATAATTATTGTACTAGTTTTCCGAATCCATGTTTGAACGGTGGAATATGTGTTTCAATATATCCCAATACATTTATATGCAATTGTCCATCTGGTTTTACGGGTAGTCTTTGTAATTATCCTCAAAGTAATATTTAATATATTGTTTATAGAAAAGAAAATATATTTAACATTATTTCTAAGGTACTGGTAGTACTTGTCTGAGTAATACTTGTAAGAATAATGGAGTATGTGTGACCGTACAGGGAGGTGGTTATCGATGTGTTTGTCAAGCGGGTTTCACAGGCAGTACTTGTGAGCTGTCTAGTGGTAAATTTTCATAGATGATAATCGTCTAAAAACTATTTTATATTGATTTTTAATTCATGAGGTACAACTGGAACAACTGGTTCGAATGCTTGTGTAGCTAATGCGTGTCTTAACGGTGGAACATGCCAATCAGTACTTGGTGGTGGTTTTCGATGTATATGTTCGGTTAGTTTTACGGGTAATCGTTGTGAATATTCTAGTGGTAAGTTTTTATAGAAAATAATAGTTTGACAACTATTTGATACTGTTTTTTTTCTGAGGTACAATTGGTATATCTACTTCAAGTGCTTGTCCAGTCAATGCATGTCTTAATAGTGGAACATGTCAATCCGTACCTGGTGGTGGTTATCGATGTATATGTCGAGCTGGTTTTACTGGCGCTCGTTGCGATGTTTCTCAAAGTGTGTTTTTCGAAATAAATAATCAAAAAAAAATTATTCTATTTTATTTTAAGTCACACCTATTACATATAGCTTAACTCCTTGTCCAACTAATATATGTCTTAATGGTGGATTGTGCACATCACTACCTGGTGGTGGAGTTCAATGTACATGTCCAGCTGGTTTCACTGGTAGTCGTTGTGATCTTTCTACTGGTGATTTCTTTTTTTATTTTATAAATAGTTCAAAAAAAATATTTTATTGCGCTTTAAGGTATTACTAATCCATCAACATCAAACGCTTGTACGATTAATCCATGTTTAAACGGTGGAGCATGTATATCAGTACCAGGTGGTGGTTATCGCTGTACATGTCCAGTTGGTTTTACCGGTATTCGCTGTGATCTTTCTACTAGTGATATCTTTTTTTTTTTATAAATAGTTCAAAAAATTATTTTATCTTGTTTTAAGGTAGTACTGGTACATCAACATCAAATGCTTGTACGATTAATTCATGTTTAAATGGTGGAACATGTGTATCGGTACCCGGTGGTGGTTATCGATGTACATGTCCAGCTGGTTTTATTGGTATTCGTTGTGATCTTTCTACAAGTATAAGTATGTTTTGAGAGATAAATAATCACAAAAGTACAAATATTTTATCTTATTTTAAGCCGTACCTGGTACATATAGCTCGACTGCTTGTAGCATTAATCGATGTCAAAATGGTGGATCATGTCAAGCAGTATCGGGAGGTGGTTTTCGTTGTATATGCCCAGCTGGTTTTATAGGTACCTTTTGCACGGTAATTGATGACATTTATGTTTTTTTTTTCGATTAGATATTTATTATTTTTTTTTATGATATAGTATTCAATAGCAGGTTGAGTGCATTTTATGGTCTTTTGACAAAATATTTCAATCACGAAATAATTGTTTATTGAATGCAATAAATAAAAAAAGAAGAATGATTTCGATTTTTCAAGTTTTCTTTCTAATTATTATTGCAAAAATAATGATTCGTATATATTTATTCATCAGAATATATATAAAACAAAAATATTGCCATAGAAAAATAAAACTCATCTACCATTACAATAAAAAATTAATCAATTTCATATACATATGTATATATATATTTTATTTACTCTTTGGAAATCGATTAAGCCATACTCGTATAGAACAATCATCTTTTCTATAAGTTAAATCTTTTTTTATATTTAAAAATGATTCAATAATTTTTGCCGATGGAATTGATTTATAGAATGAAAATCGAAATGTTATACTTGATAAATATTCAAAACGATCAATAATTATTTTCATATCATTAATATTTTTCACAGTAATTTTTAAATGTTCAATATACGATGGAATCAATGAACAAATATCTTCAATTGTTATATTGGAATAAATTGTAGATAAATTATTACATATTTCTAATGTACGAATATTAGAAATTTGCTTAAAAATATTTTTTAAATATGCTCGCGTATTTAAATCCAAAGAATAATCATAATTAAGATTTAATGAAAGTTGACTAAGATGTACAAGATTGATTAAATTAGATAATGTTTGTGATGATGCATTCAGTGAACATTGATCATCAAGATCAAGTATAAGTTCAGTTACATTATGAAATAAAGGTTGAGGAAATGAATTTATCTATGAAGAAAAAAAAAGAAGTGTCAAAAATTATATTTTCTATTGAATTAATTTACCTTTTTCTCAATATTTCCATGACAAAAAGTTCTAACTAAATTTAATCGTAATTCTGTAACATTATTCATCATAGTTTCATCCAGATGTGTATGTGTAATATTGGAACAAGTAATTTTATTTGATTGATCATGATATTGAAAATATGATTTACAAATTGGTATAGAATATAAAATAACTTCAGTTGGATTAATAATATAATCACAATTGACAAGCCACCGTTTATTTTCTAACCAAAATGATGTTTGAAATGGTCGTATAAGTGATTCAATATCCGAAAAATCATAATTAACATCTTTCCATGATTGAAAAAAAAACTCGAATTTTCCTAAATTCGAAAGTTTTATTCGAAGTATTTTTTCCCAACGATAACTATCAACTAAATATGCCATACCAATAACTTTTAAATAAACAAGTGATGGAGTTAATGAAAGAAATTGTTCTAATTTAAATATATCCATACGATTATCTTCTAATGTTAAAGATTTTAATTGACGATATTGATTAGAAGTAATCATATTTGTATCATTCCAAAGTACATCTTTAATAATAAATGTTTTTAAATATAAACATCGTTCAAGAATAATACAATATTGTTCAAATGTTATTCGATTTGATATATGAACATATTCGATTTGACATTGATTTGGCCATATAAAATCATAAATTTCAAAACACCATATACTTAATGTAAATTGTTTTAGACTAGATTGTTCGAGAATTGTTGAAAGACATGATAATGTTTGATTTGTCCATGTAAAAAATGTACGAGATTTAATCGTTAAGGATAAAAGTGATACATAAGATAAATCTTTTAAAACGATATTTAAATTTGAATCTTCAATTTCCAAAAGCGTTAATGAACGAAGATATTTAAATTGTTTAAGTTTATAAAATGAAAGAAATAAATTTATTTGACCTGGTGTTCTGTCATCATCAGATAAAATAAGTGATATAATATTTAATGGATTAATAATACGACAAAAACGATAAAAATTATATTTTGTACATGAATTTAAATTTAATTCATATTGATTATAAACATTTGAAATAATATAAAAACGTTTACAAACATAACGAAATGATAAAAGTATTGTATCAGTATCGAGAAATTTTAAAATATGATAAAGAAGTTCAACGGGTAAATTATCTAAGTAGGAAATTATATCTGTAGACATTTTCTCCAGAAATATTGTGCATAATAATAGTATGTTTATGTCACAATTGCTTAGTATAACGGTGTAATTTCATGGTGATGTATTTCGTTTTTATTTTTTGCCATCGATCGAATATACGGTAGAAAAAAAAGGAAGAGAAGAGAAACAGAAACAGAAAAAGAAGAAGAAGAAGGAAAAAAATGAGACCATACCTTATTCTTTTTTTTTTATTGGTATCGAAGAATATATAAAGAAAAAAACATGATCAAACCATTTTTTTTCCTTAGGGGAGCATAAATAATAACAAATAGAATTTATGTTGATATATGTAGAATCGATGACATTATTTGTTATCAAAATGAGATCAGAAAAATGTGGTTTTAATGTATTATGCCTGAAACCATAGAAAATATTAAGGTCAATCGATAAATTTACTTGTTTATGTTAAAAATTAGAATCTATTAAAACAATCTTTTAAGTTTGTCATCTATTAATATAAAATATATCATAACAACACTTCAAAAATTTATATCGATAGAAATTCATATATTTCAGACGTATTACAAGGTCATTGTACATTTGTGATTTATATCCAGCTGTGCATCCTTTGTAAATATATATTGTGCGAGTTATTTAGAATAGACGAGAAATTGATTAGTCGCAGATGTTTTCTAAGAGAAAAACATGGTATATTATTATTTTTGTATAGTAGGGTTTTTTTTTCTTGATTGGAGATGAAATGAAGGAGAAAGCAAAAATATAATTGCCTGTTTAGTTTCAAAACATACAATAGTTTAAATAGTCTGGTTAATTTACCTAATATTTTTATATTTATTCTCACTCTATATCTTTTAATAACAAAATAATAATTCTAATTCTTAGTTTCAATAGTTAATTGTGACCATGATGTAAAATGATCTGTCCATCGATGATATTCATGTTTTGAATCTTGCCATTCTGTAGTTATACTAGATGGAGATGTTGTGTTTGAATTATCTTGTTTTTTTACGCCTGTTAATCGCCATAAACATTGATTAAATGCACAAGTAATTGGTTGAATATTTGTTTGACATAATGGACATTGTGAATCAATTATAGTAGAATTAGTAATAATATTAAATTGACCAATACCTTGATTCATAATAACTTTATGTTCAAATGCTAAACATTTAATATTTAAACAAAATCCATCAAGACATAGACCTGGTGTTGCTTGTCTCCAAATAGGACCATCTTCAGAAGATGATTTATCCCATATCACTGGTGGATATTGTACAATAAGAGTAATACCATCATGAATAGCACTTCGTTGACGATTAAAAGCTTCTTCATTCCATGTACGAAAAATAACATCACCTAATGAATAATCATAATGTTCAGGATTACCAACTTTTTTTTCGATTAATTTTCGAAAATCATGTAAAGTAAAATGAGTTGGTAATGTAGCTGGTTTATGACCTTGTGGAGTATCGAGATAGATACCCAATGGCATTATTGTATCTTTCTATATGTCAGACAGACATGAGTGACAAGACAAATAATCTTTCAGCGAATAGATTATAAATTGGTAGTTCTAGTAAGTAAGAAAGAAAGATAGAAGAAAAAAATTGCTAAATTATATTGGATGATACTGTCGGTAGAAGACTTGTTAACGTTTTCTTCTGAAATGGAAAAAATCTATTAGTACGTCATTATTTAAAAAAAAACTAAGAATAAAACAGGAAAATGCTTTTTATTTAACATATTTAAAGTTAAGATAAATGTAGAATATTTCGAGAAAGAAAAGAAAAAGCAATCATTAGTAGACGACAGGACATTAACTCTGACTGTGGGAAGACGGTTATGGAAGTAGAAAATATCTCGATTTGATTAATGAGTATTGCTATATTTGTTTTTTCTCATCATAGATAGAATTCTAACATATACAATATAATCTATTCAACAGAAGAAAACTGCAAAGTATTATCGCTTGATTGTATGCCTAAAAATGTTGTAGCAAAGAGTTTTTTAGATTTTAAAATCATTATATGCAAGTAGAAAAAAAAAGTTATACTTAGTAAAGAATCAACAGTATTAATAACACTTATTATTGTATATATAACCTTCAAAAGCAACAGAATATATTTTTGTCATTGATGTATCTATATAATATGATACTTTAATTTCGTTATCTTGCTTCATCGATAAAATACTCTTGTCGTAAATGATAAATTATTTTCATGTGATCAAAAGCACGAACCAGCTATTGAATGCAAATGCTATTTGTAACGATATGTTTTTGAAAATAAATTAATATATAAGTAGAAATATTTTAATATTGTGCAATGGCAAAACTGATTCATTTTAAAACGAAAACAAGATGTGTCACTCTTACATCAATTATAAGTATAGAACTACAGATTTCAATACAATGTAAAATTATTGCTATTTTCAAATATCACACAATATTAAAATACACTTTTCTTCCATACATAACCAACTACATATGAGATGATCTTTGTGGTTATTTTTCTTCATCGTCAGATATGTGTGTTAGTTTATACAACTATTCTAAAATCTTACACTTTCCGTAAATTCTACAGAATTCTACATTATTATAAGCATCAGCTGCAACTATCCATGTAATTCCAATCTTGTTCATGGCTTAGAACATTACTCGTTCCATCAAGTAATGCCGTCAGATTCTCAACAATCATTCCAGCAATATCAAAAACTGGTTAAAATCTAAATAACTCTCTCATTGTTCTTTTTTATAGTGCTAAATTTTATTTAGTTTAAAAAAAAACAAATTGCCATGATGAACGTATATATTATATGTAATACAGGAATAAGTAAGTGTTAGCCGATACAATCAACATTCGACCACATTCCATCTTTTACTTGACCATTAGGATAACGCATTTTACCTCTTCCATATACATTCCCATCCTTCCATTGTCCTTCGTATTGTTTACCATTAGACCATGTGTAAATTCCTTGACCTGACTTCTTACCATCGATCCAATCACCTGTATATGTATCCCCACTGGCAAAGTACAATGTGCCTTTTCCATGTTTATTGTTATCTTTGAATTGCCCCACGATTTATTCAATGATCACATGATGTCCGCTACTTTGTTCATTTAGTACTAATATTGTTGACGAGATGACATTTATGAATATCTCTTCTCGTATCGATCGCCATCATACCATGTAAAAATTCCTTGACCTGTCATGTTGTGATCGAGCCAATCACCTGTATACTTATTTCCATTGGCGAAGCAGAGTGTGCCTTTTCCATTCGTCTTGTCATCCTTCCATTGTCCCAAGCGCTATTCAATGATCACATGAATTATATTGCCTTGTTGATTGAGTACATCTATCGATGATGCGATGACGTATGAGAACGCTCCCTCTCGTACCGTTCACCACTATTCCATGTGAAAATTCCTTGGCCTGTCTTTTTGTCATCGAGCCAATCACCCGCATACTTATCTCCATTGGCCCAATATTGTGTGCCTTTTCCATGTTTTTTCTGGTTCACCCATTGCCCTTCATATCTGCTACCGTCTTCATAGGTATGAACTTTGTATGTTGTAAGTTGAACAGTCATTGGGGTTTCTATAGAATATAGAATCTAAAGATGATCAAAATTACATGAAAATTAGTTTTTCTTCAATAAAATGTTTTTTGAACGCGTGAAAATGCGCACTTTTAGACATAAAAAGGCCTCTTTTTCAACATTTGTCTGAATGGATATGAATTCTTCGAACGTACAAAGTAAATATACCCAGTCAGACGAAGGTGTGAATGAGAGGAAAAGTAGTCCGTGATCCATACTCACACCCTAAACTCATCGGCATGGAGTAATAAGATACCAAATAAAACTTTATAACTATACAACAATATTGTTTTGTACTAAAATTGTTATTTGTCTCACTTCGAATTCATTAAAACGTACGTATTGACCTAAACGTATAAATTATGATGATTTTGTGATATTTGTATAGAATGATCGAGAGTGAGTGAATGGTATGAATGAAAAATTTCATTCTCTATTGCATCGATCACATCTATCTAATATACTTCATATTTCTTTATGATGATGATGATAATGCACACAAACATTCATATTTCTTGCATAATTTTTATATCAAATAGTATACATTCACATTAATACGTAATCATTTTGTGATATAATATCATTTAGATAAAAGAAAGTAAGAAGTTACTGTGTGTAATATCAAACCAATATGTAGAACACTTGTTTGTATAATTTCGTATATAATTTCGAGTTTATACAATACAGTAAATTGTCTATGGCAACAAAAGGAAAAGAAAGCAATTGTGTTATTCATTATACTCTCGTTTGACGATTACATAGTTACTTTCAGTGAAATAAAAAGTTTAAACATACGCTAGTATTTATTTGAGCAATAATTGAAATATGAAATGTGTAATAATTCATCCATTTAGTAAAAAGAAAAAGAAAATGAGCAATTGATGCACTATTATAGCAATAAAGCTTTTTTTGTTTTACATGATCTATCTCTTTTTCTTTTTGAGGATGTGAGTGTGAGTATGAATACTGTATTCACCTCCTACCCATATCCACCCACACCCTCACTATGGTTTGAATATGAATTTTTAGTATTGATAAACGCGAATCTTTTAACAAATTTCAATCGAGAATAAATTCATACAGGTGCATGCTTATTCATAGTCTTTCTCTTTCTAAATGTTTTTATTTGAAGATTTGTTTGAAAGTAATGGTCATTCAATATACTACGTGATCAAATCTTTCAATAGATTAAGCAACTAGTCAAAGAGAAGAAATGTTATTCTCTAGCTTATCGACTTATTCCATCGAAATTACATTAAACAGATAATATTCTATCTAAACAATTCAACAATGCAGTTTTATGCTCAATAGAAAAAATTAACTGCGAAAAGTAAGTTTATCTAAGGATCGAAATGAAGTTTAGTCATGTACATTCTGAACTTCAGTTTATAGGTAGATGATGTCATTATGGATTCAACGTTAATCTCCAAACAGTCAATATATTATTAACATTGAAACAAATTCTTTCCAGTACGTTTCTGATCCATTGATTGATTACAATTCGAATTTGAATCAAATTGATATAAAAGGATCTACTTAGAATCAATGTATTGACATGTTGAAATCAGATATATTCCTTGAAAGTCATTCAATTGAAGATAATTAACGAATGATTACATCTTTTTATAGAAAGTATTCTAAGAATGCAAACACAATGAATGATATATATATGAAAATCGAAAAAATTCCGTTTTTAATGGATCAACACAATTGTTTACAATCAACCAAAGATATTTATTTTGAAGATTTTTTTGCACATAAATCTGGATTCAGCTTGTTAAATGAAAAAACTCAAAAAGAAATAAAACAATGTTTGAAAAATGTCGGTGTCGGAGAGCGAACAGATTTGACTCATTTACGTAAAACAATTATTCCAAATGCTTCGACTTGTATTACATTGGAAAATGCAATTTAAACGATCAAAATACTATTTATATTATTTCAAAAGAATAACATTACAAACAAAGAACTTGATCAATTAAGAAAATTAAAGTTGTTAACAATACCTGGAACTTTAACAGCAGTTAAGCAACGTCTTTTCTCTGATCAATACAAACCACGATCATGAACCGACGATTACTTACGTTAGCACTTTTTATCGCCGTCCTTAGTGTGTCATGATTATGGCAGTTCAAATTTGAAAGAACATACATTTCTTTATAGTTTTTAATTATATTATGTGATTCAACCCTTGTAGACGAAATAGAAGCGGCTTTTTGTGCATATCCCAATACAAACAGATGCTCGATTTTAGACCTCAATTATGTCAAAGTGCGGTTTGGATATGCCAATATAACAAAAAGCATTCTAATGGTTCAACATTCGTTCATATATCGCTTCTGATGATATACGTTCACATTTTTTTCAATTAAAGTCAAATCGAAAAAAAAATATATTGTTTAATGTGGTTTAATTGATGCAATCCTATAGAAAGACTGCACTGCATAGTTTTCATTAGCTAACTATACATATAAGGCGGAAAAAGAAATAAAACTAAGAAGGAAAAATCTGGTTTTGATTTTTAACACATTCCTCATCTATGTCATGATGTTTGATGAGACTTATTTGCCAGTTTTCAATAACATAAATCTATCTTTATGGAATGTATAGATTGAATAAGCATATTTCAGACCTCTCTTTATTCTTTTCTTTCTTCAAACATTTTGAAGAGTTTCTTGAGTGATTATTTAACAATAAATTATATATTTGTTGAGAGATACAGTAAAAACAAATGTGAAGGTCTCTTTCACGATCGATGTTTATAAACATAGTTTATCAAGCTCATCAATAAATATCGTTATGTTTTAATTCACAGTAAGAGGCCATTGTCCCTCTCATATCTCTCTCTATTCTGTGAGAGAAAAAAGATAAATTAGAACTTGTTTTTGGCAATTTCAACGTTTCTTTTATGTATTCGCGGATGAATATGATTTGATGGTAATACTTGTTGTCCAATTTGGAGGGTATATTTGTGAAATAGACAAGCATTCGAATAATCACCCATTCTTGAATACACATTACCGATTATGTTGTAAGATGAAGCGACCAGAAGAATGATTGGAAGGAAATGATTGCTGTAGCATACT